GGTTTCTGAACTGCATACACAAAAATTAACTCAAAATGAAATTAGATACAAGACCTGAAAGCATAAAATACACAGAATTAAAACTTAGGTGATACATTAATGAACACAAATTGCAGATTTGTTATTTGAAGACAAAATTCCAAAGGCAAAGGAAACCAAAGCAAAAACTAAGGGGACTAAATGAAATGAAAAGGTTTTTGTACAGAAAAACAAAACCACAAAAGTAATGAAATAAAAGGAAAACTATGAATCCGAGGAAGATATTTGTACATCATCTATAGATAAGAGATAGCTATCCAAAATATATAGAGTTCTCATATGATAAAAAAAATAAACGAAAAATAACCTACAAACCAACAAAATTGAACTGAAGATTTGAGTTGACACTTCAAGAGAATATAGATGACAAACAGGCATAAACAAAAAAAATTCTCAACTTTATGTATTACTAGGGAAATGCAGAAAAAAACCACAAGGAGATAAAATCTCACACCCATGAGAATGGCCTACTTCAGAAAGACTGTAAACAACATATGTTGACCAGGATGTGGAGAAAAAAAAAATCTCTTGTACATCGTTGGTAAGAACACAAATTGGTGTAGTCTTTATGAAAATATTAAGGAAATGCTTTGAAAACTAAAAAGCGGAGACTAGGGACATGGCTCAAAGGTCTAGTGCATATACTTTGCATGTAGGAAGTTTCATCCCTTGCACTCTGTTTCTGTGAATACTGTTGGACGTGACCCACTGGGCAGAAATTAGTTGGAAAACACTACCAAATAAAACAAACAAACAGGTCCCCCTGAAAGATACAAAATAAAAATAGAAACCCCATAGGGGCCGGAGCGATAGCACAGCGGGTAGGGCGTTTGCCTTGCACGCGGCCAACCCAGGTTCGATTCCCGGCATTCCATATGGTCCCCCAAGCACCGCCAGGAATAATTCCTGAGTGCAAAGCCAGGAATGACCCCTGAGCATTGCTGGGTGTGACCCAAAAAGGCAAAAAAAAAAAACCCAAAACAAAACAAAAATAGAAACCCTATACAAACCAGTAATCCCACTATTAGTTGCAGTATCTGAAGAACGTAGAACACTAGTTCAAAACTATATAAGCACCCTTCTGTTGCTACTGTCAGCAGTAGTAGTAGCAGGGCTAGAGCAATAGCACAGTGGTAGGGCGTTTGCCTTGTGCACAGCCAGCCCGGCCAAGCTGGGTTCGATTCCTCCTCTGCCCCTTCTTGGAGAGCCTGGCAAGCTACCGAGAGTATCTCGCCCACATGGCAAAGCCTGGAAAACTACCCGTGACATATTCGATATGCCAAACACAGTAGCAATAAATCTCAAAGTGGAGATGTTACTGGGCCTGCTAGAGCAAATCGATGAACAATGGAAGGATAGTGGATATATGTATGTATGTATTCAATGGAATACTACCCAGCTATTTAGGAAGATGAACTCTTGTCTTTTGCAACAATATGTTTGAGACAATTAGTATTTTTTCTCATGTGAGGAATGTAAATAACCAAAGCAAATGTACAAACAAAACATAACAAGAATAATTTTTTTTGGGGGGGGGGCGGTGTAGGAGGATTGGACTATACCAACAAGGCAATACCGAAGACTTACTCCTGACTTGTACTCAAGGATCACTCCTGGCACTGCTCAGGGGACTGTACGTTGTGTCAGGGATTAAATTGGGGTCATCTGCATGCAAAGCATACAAATATCTGCATACTCACGGTCCAATCTCCCTGGCTCACAAAATAAATGGCATAAGATATATGATTACTAGAGAGGAAGGGAGGAGGGAAGAAAGCATGGAGAAGGCAATCTGATCTTGAGAATAGCACAACTATACCAGCAACTGTAGCACTGTCCTCCCTTTGTTCACAGATTTGCTAGAGCAGGCACCAGTAATGTTTCCATTGTGAGACTTGTTACTGATTTTGGCATGCCGAATACGCCACGGGGAGCTTGCCAGGCTCTGCCGTGCAGGCGGGATACTCTCGGTAGCTTGCCAGGCTCTCCAAGAGAGACGGAGGAATCGAACCCTGGTCGGCCCCGTGCAAGGCAAATGCCCTACCCTCTGTGCTATAGCTCCCACCCTATACCAGTAAATGTTTTATAATGTTTGAGTACCCTCATCTCTATCTAAAACTCAAGTTAACAGTAGATGGAGATAAAACATGATCAGCTGGTGTGGATCCTGAAATTGCCAGCCTAAATTAGGTTCCCATAGTAGCAAGTCTCCTGGGGGGGGGGGGGGGGGGGGGGGAAAGCACAGGTTCTGGATGTCAAGCTTGTGCTTAAGCAAGCAGCACTTTTTTTTTTGTCAAGAATAGCTACTTTGTCAGTGGAAATGCTCTCTAACACATACTGGTGTCCCCTTAATGAAAAAGTGACATAAAAAAAAGAGGTGTGATTATGCCACAGGGATGGGCAGTCTCATGCTGTGCCCAGTGGAGACTCAGTACTCTAATAAAGTTGTAGTGCCAATAGTAAGAATGACACTCTAGGGACAAAGGAAATAGAACACTGTTTAGGTTGTGGGTTTTGCATGTTCCAGACTCATTCATTTCATGGTACCACATCCCATCCCCGCCACACAACCCTCTTCGGCAGCATGACCCTGGTGGTCTCTGGTACCCAGAGCATAAGCAGGCAGCATTGTACCCTGTGACCCTCATACTAAATCACCAGTTTACTGGCAGAGAATTGTTGGGAGTCCCCTTGAGCGTTGGTTGGCGGTAAAAAAAAAATACATGACAGATGTGTGTGTATTGGAATAAGTGGCAATGTTAAAATGTTTATTATGTGTGGTAGCTGTAAACATTGCTAAGACACTTTTTAGGGATTCCCCAGAATAGTCCTGTAAATGTAGAGTCCTGAGTCTGCTCCCTGAAGTAGCAGAATTTAAGAGTTGGTAAAACACAGGCTACAAACTCCAATTTTCCAAGGTGCTCCTTTTTCTTTTCTGCATCTCTGCCTCACAAACTGAAGTGATAGGCTTTTGATTAAAGATTAAAAAATTAAAAATTAAAAATTAAAAAATGAAATATTCTTCTTTGAGTCCTTAAAACTGATCTCAGCAAAACAGATTATCTCTTGGGTTTAAACCCAGATTATATTACTAAATTTTTACCATCTGATCTTGGAATTTTTCATTATTTGTTCCTTGCTTTGCAATAATAACTGCTCTTGTTTAGTAAATAGGCTAAATCTCACAGGCTTGCTATTGCTGTTTTTACCTTACATTATTGGTAACAAAGCTGTAGGTATAAATAGAACCATGTCCTTCCTACCTTGTAAAATCCAGCTGCCTTCCAGCAGAGGACTTTTGTTTTATGTTCCACTGTGTCTTGTTTGTGCCATTCTTAATTTACACGAAAGAGATGCTGCCATCACCAATTAACATTTATCAAGGGACCCCTGGAAGCCTGGCCGCATAGGGGTTAATTTAATATTCTCTTTGTTTCAGATTATTAGGTGGCTCCTTCAAATGAATTTTTAAGTATCTCAGCCATGATAAAGAAGAAAAGAAACATCAATTAGAATTCAGGAAGACAAGCCTTCTGAGAAAATGTTTAAAGGAGAACATCAAGGACTGGCATTAGTATTTGAAAGGTTAAAAGAGGTGTCTTTTTATGCAGTCAACAAATAACTAAAGTAAAAGGCATTGCATTCATTATTCCTGAAAGAAAGCTGGCAGCATGCGGTTAGACATCTGCCCTTTGATCTTGCCATTTCCCCTTTTATTTATTTCAGTCTTTGTAATCTGCCAGAGGCTTTTTCTAGTCAGCTCTGCCCTGACTAGATAACTCCTTCCTCGAACTTCCATAGCCCTTGTCGTTTACATCTCTTATTTGGAAATTTAGCACATGATATATATTATACCATGGGATAAAAATGTGTTCATTCTCCCCAAGTATTATCAGAGAACTGACTGGACAATTCATTTATTTCTTGCCCCTCAGGGTCAGGATAGCGTTCAAGCAACTGTGGAACCTCAAGAAAAACTTATTCATGACGTTGGCAAACCTATTAAAATGAGATGAAATTTTATTTTACCTTTCTAAAAGGTGACAGCAAATGCAATGCGTTGCAAGTTGACACAAACATCATTGATGTTTTCTGACTTTCAGAGCTTTATGCGCATTTGTTTGGAGGGGTGGGGAAATTGAGATAGGAAGTCAGCTGCGGTTTGAAAGCACGGTTCTTGAAGGCAAATTTCGATAAAAGATATTTTTAGGGGCTGGAGCAATAGCACAGCGGGTAGGGCGTTTGCCTTGCACGGGGCTGACGGGGTTCGATTCCCAGCATCCCATATGGTCCCCGAGCACCGCCAGGAGTGATTGCTGAGTGCAAAGCCAGGAGTAACCCCTGAGCATCGCCGGGTGTGACTCAAAAAGAAAAAAAAATATATATATATATATGTTTTTAGCCTGCCTGAGCTATACTTATTTTGGGGTCTACTCCTTTGTCCTGGCACTACGTAATAAAACATAAATGCAGGTTAGAAGAAGTGATATTCAGGAGAACAGACATGGGCATTTTCGAGTTAGAGAAAGAAACAGTGCATTCCACCATGCATTTTGGAATTGTGAACACCTGCATGTTCTATACATTTTGGAATTGTGAACACCTATACGTTCTGTGCCTTTAAGAGCCGGTGACTCGGAACTCCCAACTGCACGCTGACCCGCAGCAGCCCAGCGAGGCGCTTGAGGCGGTTCTAGAACGAAGCTCCCGCGGGGCCCCGCCCACTCGCCGTTCCCGGACTCTCATTGGCCGGCCTTCCTCCCGCCTCTCGCCTACCGGCTTTGCATCGGCAGGCACTTATTGGTCGACTCCTACCGACGGCGAGCGAGTCTCCGCGTCTCTATTGGTTGTTCGTCTTCAGAAGAGGCGGGGGAAAGGGCGGTACGACGGGGCTCCAGGAGGGAAGCGCGCTGTGCGCCGGCGCGTCGTCGGGGACGCCGGGCCGCGTGTTTTTTTTTTTTTTTTTTGCTAGGGAACCGACTGTTGTCGCCCCGCCCCCCCGGGGCTGGGGGGGGTGTTTGTCCCGTTAACTGTCGGAGTGGCGGGGGCGCCAGCGCCAGGCGACATGCCGGTGCGTTTCAAGGTGAGAGCGAGGTGGGATGCGGGTCGCAGGGGGGCGGGGTGCGGGCCCAGGCTGGCGGGCGGGCTCCGCGGGGTGGTGGCCCCTTGGCCCGCGGGTCCAGCCGGCGCAGTTCAGGAGGAGGCTGCGCTGCTCGGACCGGGCACGCAGTCTCTGTCCACCGTCACCTAGTGGAAGGGTTCGATGCTTTCGAGACAACTTCTAGCATTGCTGCCGGAGGGGGAGTGTCGGGTGGGCTCGGAGGAGTGGAGATGGAGGAGGGCACTTGATTCGGGGCGCTAAGGTGGCGCTTCAGGGCGGTCCCATGCTGTGTGACCCTTTTAGAGTCCAGCATTTGAGCCTCTCCTTTTTAAAAGCTTGTGTCTTTTAAAGGCGTGAGCAAGGAGACCAGCGCCAAGACGGGGTTTCCTAAGGAAGGCGCTTGGCTTTTTCGGTTTGAGATTTTTGACCCAGAGTCCCACCCAGACTTTTGTGCCTTTTGGCTGTTCCTGTGTTCAGCATTTTGACCCAAATGTTGCAGATCGCTGGTAGCAGTCGCTTGTCCAGCATGCTGCAGGGTGACGATTGAACGTCAGGATCGTTCTACCAAACCCGCCTGCTCTGTCCTACCTTAAGGGCTTGTGTCCAAAAACGGGAGGGGAGTTTGTCTTTGGTTGCCCGCACAATTTTGAAAGATGCTAGGCAGGAGACATAATCCTGTGTACCTGGTGAGAACATAGCATGATAATAGTCATCTGTTACCGGAGGGGCACTCAGGTGTTGGGACTGGCAAGAGGCTAGCCAGCCTGAACCCCGGATTTCCTGCCTCAAGTGGCCCTGAAGATTAAAGGATCTAATATGTGAACTGCTTATGGCTGGGTGAATGTTATCTGTTCATAAGAAGCTTATTTGTGTTTAATTATAAGTCTTCAGGCTCTCCCCTCCTTTTAAAGGGTCACGAATTATTTCTTACGACGTCTGATTTAAAAAATTTTGATCACCAGCTGCTTTGGACTCAAGTTGTGCTTTGTATTGCAGGGGCTGAGTGAATACCAGAGAAACTTCCTTTGGAAAAAGTCCTATTTGTCAGAATGTTACAATCCCTCAGTGGCTCAAAGGCACCCATGGGCTGGACTTAGATCAGATCAGTTTGGTAAGTTGAGCAAACCAATAGTCATGATAAACTTAATAAAATCCTTGCACCGAGTTTGCAAAATAAAGGTAAAGGTAAAGGTAAAGGCCCTCCCGTTGATCGTCGATTTGCTCGAGCGGGCCCAGTAACGTCTCCATTGGAGACTTTGTTGTTACTGTGTCTGGCATATCGAATACTCTCGGTAGCTTGCCGGGCTCTCCGAGAGGGGCGGAGGAATCGAACTCGGGTCGGCCATGTTGGCCGCGTGTAAGGCGAATGCCCTACCCGCAGTGCTATCGCTCCAGCCCTGCAAAATAAAAAGAATGATTTATTAAATTATTGTAAAACATCGGTCAGTGGAGTCATTTGCTTATTCAAGAGTATTTCTCGGGGTTGGGGAGGGGGTAGGATGGGGTGGGAGATGGGGTCACTGTAGACCAGGACTCGCCCCACCTTTAAGGGAGATAGCCTTGAATGAGACAAAGACCTTTAACTGTGGGAAAAATAGTAAATTGAAAAGTCCTGTTTTAAAGTCCTTCAGGTTGTTAAAGAAAACAGATAACTGGGGGGAGGGAAGGGTGGGCTGGAGGGGCTGCACTGTAGCTTGAGAATCACCTTTATGAAGCTCTGTGAGGTGCATTTGAGCTGAGATTTGAGAACTGAGGGTAGACGAGCATGGGGAGCATTTCTCCTGATACTTTGAGGAATGGAAGCTTAGATTTAGTGCTTTGTTCCAGATTTCACAGCCAAGTGGCAGAACTGTGATTGGATAGCAAGTCAGTTTTTCTTAACACCCATGACTTCAGAGACTGGACATGTCATCATGCTTCTGTTCTTCCTTTTCTCAGACGTCTGGAGCAAGGTTTCCCAGTACAAGGTAGAAGGAGAAAAGAGAGGCTGAGCATAAAGCATCTGCTTGTATAATTCTTCCTCATTAGACACACACACACACACACACACTCTCTCTCTCTCTCTCTCTCTCTCTCATACTCTCTCTCTCTCACTCATTCACTCGCTCACTCGCTCACCCACCCCCCCACCGCCCCCAGTAGCCCTTTGATTCACCACATTATTCCCAACAAGTACCTGCATGGCTAATTCCGTTTTGTTTGGAGGCACACCTGGCAGTGCCTAGTGGCTGCTTCTGACTCAGTGCTTGGGAGTTGCACCTGGAGTGTTCCGGAGGCCATGTTCAGTGCCCGGGATCAGACTTGGGCCTCCTTCCAGTGAAGCCTGTGCTCCAGCCCCCAAACTGATTTTTGAATGGATGGGGGGAACCTACATTTATATGCCATATTAGTTTTGTCATTTTGGACAGATTTGACTTGCTGCTCTTGTTTCTCTCTGTTGGGAGGGATTAACAGACTTCCTGTGAAGGGCGCACAGAGGAGTGTGTGCGTGGGGCCCGCTTGCCCACTGTGCCATGGGTGTAGCCCCTGCGGGATGCTGTTGCAGCTCCACTGTTAAGTGATTTAAAAAGCCAGGAAATGTTTTGAGTGTTGGTTGTTCAGAGCATGAGGAGATGTTCTCAGGATTTGGTTTGAAGAGCAGAGGGAAAAGTAGGACAGCAGTAATCGCCCTGTTAGGTTCCTTTGAGTCATCAGGAACCTTTATTCAAAGGCTTGGGTGCCCCCGAGCCCCATACTGGGTGCTGCTGGTAGTCCTCTTCAAGTGACCCAAAAGAGATGAGAATAATCCAAAATAAATTTCTTAAATTCAAGCTATATCCAACTGAGGGCCAAGAAGGACTAGAAACCTGTTCCCGTAATGTTTGAGCCTAGAGATAAGCGACATTGGAGGGTAGGGGTTTTGCATTGAGACTGGGAGCAAAACCATCCTAACGTTTGGTGCATGAGAAAGGATAGTCGGGGCAGACGTGCCACAGGGGAGATGCCGTGAGGGCTTGGTGCCCAGCAGGACTCCAGGATGTTCTGGAAGGGAGGTGTCGACTAAGAAGTTTCTGCATAGCTACCTGGGACAGGTCTGCTGTTTGTTTAATGAAGTGTCTGCAGGGGCTTTGCAGCTGCTCTGAGACATGACAGGGCACTGGAGATCTTCCCCTTACATTTGCTCTTTTTTCTGAAGTTCTGTTTATTGATCAGGAGAAGTCTGGGGGCCATGTTCTTCAACTGTTTCGCTTTTGTACCCCTTAAAAGAATTTATAATGTTTTTGTATCCTTTCACATTTGTAAATCTTAATAGTTTTTGAAGGATATGATTTGTGACACACTGGATATTGTGTATCTATGTGTTTTTTTTTTATCTTGAAGCTGTCAGTGTAGTTCATTCAATTTGCAGTACATTGTATAATTGGGAATGTCAGCTTTCACTGGGAAATGAATCAGGCAAATTGGAATGATGATTAGAATGATTTTCTGTGAGGAAGAAGAGAGCCTCTTTATTTTTTTGCTCAGAGAAATGTGTTACAATGCCTGAAGGCAAGTCATATGATAACTTTAATAATTAATCAATTAGTTACTTAAAAATTTTTCTTTGGTTGTTGAGGGGTGGCTCGACCCAACTGTGCTCAGCTCTCACTCCTGGCATTGTAGTCAGGGATCGCTCCTGGTATACACCGTGTGGGGTGCTGGGGACTGAACCTGGGTTGACTGTGCCAGGTAAGCACCCTACCTGCTGTACCCTCTTTCCAGCCCACAACACAACTGAATTTTAATTCCCAGATAGGTAGAAAAGTTGTGGAGTTGAATAAAATAAAGTGCCATTTCTTTGTTACTTCTGATCTCTGCCTTCTGTGCTTTGTGGTCAAAAGCTTTCCCTCAGGAGTTGTGTTTTCTTGAATTGTCCCTTGTCTTCTCCACCTGTAAACCACTCCCCCCCCCCCCAACTCCCTTGGGGCTGGTTGTGAGGTGTGCCTTTTGTAAGTGGGAAAAGCGTGATTATGAAGGTGTGCTGGGAAGTGGAGCCACAGAGGGCAGCTGCAGCTCTTAGGCAGATCAGTGTCAGAAGCGTACACGGGGGCCCTCTGGGTGAGAAAAGAATTCTGTATACCTGCTTATTCCCTTCAGCACCCTGCAGTGCTGTTTATGGGCCCCCAAGACATGTGCCCGCCTGGTTTGAAAGACCACTGGGCAGGGAAGGGGCGGGAGACCTGGGGCTCGATGGTTGGAACCTCCATGATCACAAGGACTTAACAACCCCATGGTGAGCTATAACGATTTTCACAAATTTTCTTTTACTGAAGTATTTTTATTAATTCCACTCGTCATTTAGTTGGAACAAGAGGTATAAAATAAACTGTCAAATGCCTGCTAAGGGGTGTGGTTGGGGAAACAGGGACAGTGGTAGAGGGAAGGTCACGCTGGTGGTGGGATTGGTGTTGGAACATCAAAAGCCCCTAACAACTATATTATGAATAACTTTGTAAGTCACATGTAAGTCACATTAAATAAAGCATTTTATTTAAAAAACTCCATGATTGCTGCTGAAGAGCTGGGGATGCTCCTCCTGCTTGAATTTGTCTCTTTTCTCTCTTTTTTCCCCCTTTCCCTCGTAGTCCTCATTTTTCTTTCCCGCCTGCACAGTCTTCTGTGTATTTAAAGACTGGCCTCAATCTAGGACAGTGGTCCCGTGGTGGCCGTTCCACAGAGCTCTCTTACCTGGGAGAAGGCTGAATTTTGGACATTTGCTTGCCAGACAGAAACATTGAGAAGTGGTATCTTCGCTCCTGTTAAAAGGGTCCATTCTGTTTAATTCTCAGGAAATCAAGGCAAATGTAGAACCAAGTTCCTGCCTAACGGCATCTCATCTCATCTTGGCTCCTCTGCACAAGAGAAGCTTTGTGATGGGTTCCAGATTTTGACAGAACGAGGCTCCGTTGTTCTGTTAAGTAGCACAGGAAAGTAATTAGAAACGGAGGCAACATGTCCTGCCTGGCTGGCCAGGCCCGTCACTTGGCTGTTCTAGTGAGTGGTGTGAGGATACCTCAAACATCGTGACCCCGATTTCAGATTTTAAGAGGCCAGGGAGATAGCTCACAGTGCTCGGGCATGTGCTGGCGTATAGACCCTCCCCAGTCTGATCCCCAGCACCCTGAGCATCAGGATAGAAATAGCCAGTCCCCAAGCCCCTCGGGATGTGACCCCAAAGCCAAATAGACTGATAATAGAAGCTATTCAAAGCAAAAGTAAAGGTTTTATGTTGGAAAAACACACACTTTTTAATCTTGTAAACAAAAGTCAAGGGTGCTGTGTGAGGACCTCACTGTATTTTAAATTCTTTCTCCTACTAGATATTATTGAAAAATTGCTTTTGTAACTCTGCTTTGGTAACTGCTGTTGTTTTATATGGATTTTTGTAGGAATCACAAGAGAGCCAGGTTTTCTCTCCAAAAGAAAAGTCCCTTACCATGACCCACAGATTTCAAAATCTTTTGAGTGGCATGGACCTGTCACACAAAGCGATGTGGTTCTGTCACCCAAGCCCAGAGCACCAGAAACAGCAAAATTACAAGAAACAAACCAAGAAGATGGTGGTAATGAAGAAAAAGTTCCTGTGTTAGAAGCTTGCAGGGTTCCCAAGAGAACTAGATCTCACTCTGCAGACTCCAGAACAGAAGGGGCTTCAGATATTGTGGAAAATAATGAGGATGAACTAGTGGACCATGCACCAGTTACTGAAAATGTACAATCGGAACAGACTACGGGGCTTCTTTCAGAAAATGTAGATGATGGGGTAGGTGTGGTCACTGTTTTTTTTTCAAAAGTATAAACTTCCTTGTAGACTTTACCATAACTTCAGCCATGCTACACATCATGCCTAACAAATTTTCATTACTTTTTGGTCTACTGTCTTCTAGAATTATTGGTAAGAGGCCGTTGACTCAGTTATTGTGAACTAGTTCTAGTCTTAATAGTTACCATTTTGTACTGTTTATCCTAAGATATCCCTTCGCTGGTAGGACACTTTGCCTCTGGATTGTATTCATCATATCTCAGCACCTGAATCCTAAGGGAGAGATCAAGTGAAAATAGAAAAGCGGGGACTTGGCTATTACTTCTGGCTGGGTCCTTTTCAGTTTCTTCTTGTGTGCCAGTGAGGAAACAAACAGAATCTCAGTTGACAAAATGAAGAAAGAAGGAGAGTTCTGGCTGGATCTCAGAGATCTGGCAGTTCTGCTCTCGTATGTCTTGGCTGGCCTGCGGGACAGTCCTTGCAAGCACATAAACTGAGGCTGCAGAGGCCGGGCAGGCAGCTGACCGCCTCCCACACATTCCCTGCTTCCCTGCGTCTGCCTGTTTCATGCCACTTCTCACTGCAACCTCGGAGAGGCATTTAGAAGTGCTGGAGAAGAATCTGTGGCTTGCCTGGATCTTTAGGGTACAGGCAGGGTGTCAGAGGAAACAAGGAAGGTACTAATATAAGTGGTGGGCAGAGGTAGGGATATCTCAGCCACAGTGTGTGGAAGACAGATTGCTCTCGTTTTTCACTATTAGATTCAACAATGGTAATTGGTAGGAAAGAAATGAGAAATGTTATCTTTTTTTCTGGCATGCATGGTAAGAATTAGGAAAGGATCTGTGAGTAGATTGACAAAAGGGAGATTATCAGTTGAAATACGTTTGCTGTACAACAATACACATATAGTTAACAGTATTGCACTGTACATGTAATTTTAAGGGAATATATTTTAGTTCATATTTTTGCCCCAGTTTAAAAAAATGACTGAATAGAAATTTTAAAGGATTTTAAGAGTTTTAAGTGGAATTCTTTCTTCTCTCTCTCTCCTCTCTCTCTCTCCCCCCCACTCTCTCCTCCTCTCCTCCCCCGCCCCCCATCTCACAGGTGGATAGAGTTCTTCGGAAGAAAGCTGGATTGACTGTGGTTCCTTCAAAGAGTGCCTTGAGAAATTCTGAATATCAAAGGCAGTTTGTTTGGAAGACCCCGAAAGAAATTACTCCAGGTTTTACAGCCAATCAGGTAGTTTTAATGAATGTATATTAAATTCTTGAGTTCTATGAGTTTTTTGAGTTTTATATCTGATGTGGTGTTGCAGATTTGCATAGAGCTAAAATTTGAAAGAAACTAGATATGTAGGCCTGCAGGTAAGTTCTTGAAAAAGTTAAAAATGAAAAACTTGCTAAAGTTATACTATTATGTATTATTTATAATAATAATACACTATCTTAGGTGACTGGTGATCATTGTTGCCAGATTCATCACATATATTAAAAACAAAACAGTGTAATGAAAACTGGGACTAGTAAGTTTTTATATGCTAGTGAGGTGTTTATATTAAAAAAAGATTAACATTCTTTTTATCCTAAAATGTTATTTTTAGTTGACTTATATTGCATGTTTTCTGAGAAAAGCATAACAGCTTTGGGTGTTTATTTATTTTGTCACTGTCACTGTCCTCCCATTGTTCGTTGATTTGCTCGAGCGGGTCCAGTAACATTGTGAGACTCGTTACTTTGTTTTGGCATATCAAATACATCACAGGTAGCTTGCTAGGCTTTGCTGTGCAGGCGAGATATTCTCAGTAGGTTGCCAGGCTCTCTAAGAGGGGTAAAGGAATCGAAGGTGGAGGAATCGGACTTGAGTCAGCCGACCCGGCCTCGTGCAAGGCAAACGCCCTACCCGCTGTGCTATTGCTCCAGCTTTTATTTTATTTTAGTAAATGTAAAATATGTTGAAAGTAATAAAAAGGTGGTATTTTCCCTTGTATCAGTTAAACAGTAATAGGACATGAATTATATATACAAAATTCAAAAGGTATAATGATAAGTAATGTAAATCTAGATTTCATTATTCCTTTGTAAAATTTTAATGTTGGATTGCCATTACTAATTAGTCTTATTTACTATTATTCTCTACACTTTTTAGACTCTTAACTTTATAACGTCTTATTTACTATTATTATCTTCTCTACACTTCATAGACCCTTAACTTTATATGTATGTTCTTAACTGAACTCCCTGTGTAATTTGGAAATACTTCTGTTTTGAATATCCTCAAAGGCCCCTTAATGTTTAGTTCTTTACTTTATCCTAATGCTTGTGTTTTAAGTGTAAAATTTAATTATCATTCTACCCACACGAAAAAGCCTGGCAAGCTACCTGTGACATATTCAATATGCCAAACACAGTAACAACAAGTCTCACAATGGAGACGTTACTGGGCCCGCTCGAGCAAATCGATGAACAACGGGAGGATAGTGCTACAGTGCTACAGTGCTTTAAGACTATAAAATAAAGGGATGTGCACCTTTTTATTAATCTAGTAAAAGATATTCCTTCATTCTCAACCTAGTAAATGGGGTTTAGTACTTCTTTGTGAATTGCCTTGCAAATATTCCTGGCTGGTGAAGGTACTCCAAAATCTATGGCCTCCTTGGGTCCAGTGCCTTTTGCCTACCCCACAGTGGGGCACTTTGGGAAAAACTGGATTAGAAATGGAATATAAAATAAATCACTAGCAATACCTTTATTAGTAGCTTTACTGGTTTTATTCATGAGGGTTTTCAAATCATGATACGGGGTAACGGATGGTCTTTGTGCAAAGCATACCAGTCGGAGGCCTGTGATTGTTAGAGTGCTGTGCTTGGAGCTGAGAAAGCACTGAGGAGCTGTGGAGCTCTTCTACCAGACACCTGTTTTCTGAAAGGACGCCTCATATTTATATGCAAAGGAGTCAGCATCATTTTTAGCAGTAGTGTCCTTGAGGTTGTCCTGTCCTTAAAAAGATCCATGTTAGATTTGATTGGTATGAAAACGTACTGTTCATTGTCATATAGCAGTAGTGTATCTCATTTGCTCTCTAGCTCTTTTCCGTTTGCTTTCTCTGAAATCAGTGATAATTTATCGTAAAATGAAAACCTTATTATGGGTACAAATGAAAACCATACTACGGGTAACAGGAAACATTTAAAGAGAGAAACATCTAAACTATCTGATGCTGTTGCTTGCTTTAAGCTAAAAATCAACAGCAAAAAACCCTGAACAATTGAACGCCAGAATTCAAAATGTTAAGATTTTTCTGTTGTTTCAGAAAAAAAAGAATCATGTTAAAGGAAAAATCTGTAGAACTGAAGAGTTGCCTTGTAATACTAACATCAGTGTTCATATTATTATTAACACTTGCCTTTTTTCCCCACTTTTATAATTTTATTTATTGAATCACCGTGAGAGCAGTTACAAAGCTTTCAGGCTTAAGTCTCAGTCATACAATTAAACACCCATCCCTTTACCAGTGCCCATTTTCCACCACCAAAAACCCCAGTATAACCCCCATCCCACACCCTCCCCCTACTTGTGGAGCAGATGATTTCCGCATTATGCTCTCTCCTTTAATATTAATGTAATATTAATATTACATTTAATATTTCAACACCAGACCCACCATTATTATTTGGGATTTTTACCCCAACATTCAGATCTGCTGAAAAGGCAACAGTAGACAATTTGTTTTCCATTGCTGGTAAGGAATAACATAATGTCGCACAGCCACAGTAGTGGCTGCGTGATTTTGGAATTCTGAAATTTTAACAATTAAATCTGGAGGGATTTCTGCCAAAACCTGCTGGGTTCGGAGATTTGTTTCTGAGTCTCTTGGATCATGGCTGTTAAGCAGCTTGATCAGGAGCCAGAGGCTGTGCGTAGGCGGTGACTTGGGGTCTCGTTGGAATGGGGAGAAAAGGGCCGGCTCCACCCTCATCCTGCGAGGCCCTGCATGTCTCATCACTGTGGGCCCAATCCTAACTGTCCAATGACCTCTGGAGGATGGCAGCCACTGAGCCGCCAAGAGGGAGCCAGTGGAGGAACAGCACCCTTTTCCCCCTGGGGTGGCCTGGCGCTAGTAACCTACTGCGGGGACTGGATGCATTTCTACCCAATTTCTGCTGGGTTTCGAGATTTGTTTCTGAGTCTCTGGGATCATGGCCATTAAGTAGCTTGATCAGGAGCCAGAGAGACCATTTGTGGCCAGTGACTCTGGGTCTTGTTGAGGTGGGGAGGAAAGGGCCGGCTCCACCCCCATCCCGTGAGGCCCCGCGTGTCTCATCACTGCGGGCCCAAAGGAGGAAAGGGCCGGCTCCACCCCCATCCCGTGAAACCCCGCATGTCTCATCACTGCGGGCCCAAATCTGACCATCCAGTGGCCTCTAGAGGATGGTGACCACCAAGGCACCAGGGGGAACAGGCCAAGGCATGAAACCGATTCCCACCTGGGGCAGCCTGGCACCAGTAAACTACTGTGGGGACTGGATGCATTTCTGCCAAAAGCAGCTGGGTTCCAAGATTTGTTTCTGAGTCTCTGGGATCATGGCCATTAAGCAGCTTGATCAGGAGCCAGAGAGGCCATTCATGGGCAGTGATCGGGGGTCTTGTTGGGGTGGGGAGGAAAGGGCTGGCTCCACCCCCATCCAGTGAGGCCCAGTATGTCTTGTCATTGTTGGCCCAAACCTGACTTTCCAATGGCCTCTGGAAGATGGCAGCGAAGGGGGAGCAGGCGGAGGGACAACACCCTTTCCCCTCTGGGTGGTCTGGCACTAGTAACCGGTTCATTGCAGGGACCAGACACATCTCTGCCAAAAGCCACTGGGTTCCAAGGTTTGTCTCTGAGTGTCTGGGATCATGGCTATTAAGCAGTTCGATCAGGAACCAGAGAGGCCTTACCTCCAATTATATAGCTGAGCCAGAGGTGGTTTGTGGGTGTGTCTCCCACATACCTAACTTTTGGCCATTTACTTACTTGGTAAACTTTGCCCCAAGTTTTTGAGGTCTGGCCAAAGGCACAGCAGCAATTTTGGGGTTTCTTGAAGTCTGAAGGCGCCATTAGGCTGCTGATGCATTCCCCTCACAGGAACAGGTTGACCTGCTGGCGGCACCATACCTACCACTTGCCTTTTTTTTTTTTTTTTTACTTATCCATTACTAAGCAAGTGGGAGGGTGGCAGAGAGGATTTTGCTGTAGGAATGGAGGGGAGGGAAGGTATGGTTCCTTATTTGTTTTGATGAAGACATTATTTTGATTATGGTAGCACTATATTAAAAAATTAGGGATGAATATAGAAGGTTGATTGTTGTTTTCTAACATTCGTTGAATTTTAATTGATAAACATGATATATTTACACTATATTCTGCGTTTGACATGAATACAATGTAAAGTGATGACCTTGATCAAATTAGTTAACACCTTTCCTCAGTTAATTGCCTTTCAGCAAATCTCAAGTGTACAATACAACATTATTAATTATAGTTACTGTGCTGTGCTTTGGTTCTCCAGAACATATTTACTGAAATAATTAAAAAGCCCTTGACAAACATCTCTCCATTTCACCACTCCCTGTCCCCTGGCAGCTACCACTGTCTTTGATTTTATAAGTTTATATTGTTAGATTTTGCGTATAAGTCCTCTTGTAGTTATCTTTCTGAGCCTGGTTTATTTCTCTTAGTATATGTTCTCTAAGTTCATCCAAGTTTGTTATTGCAGATAGCAGGAGTTTGAGTTTGAGTTTTTTTCCAAGACTGGAAATATTTCATGTATATTAATATATACACCCAATAGAATGTTTATTATTAAAATGTAACATGTATTGCACATTTTGTTCATTTATTCACTTATCTATAGATGCTCATTTTGATTTCCTATCTTGGTAGTTAACAAATAATACTGTAATGAACATGAGAGTGCAAATACCTTTTGTTTTTGTTTTTTGGGCCACACCTGGTGGTGCTCAGGGGTTACTCCTGGCTCTGCACTCAGGAATCACTCTTTGCAAGGTTGAGAGATCAAATGGGATGCCAGGGATCAAATCTGGGTCAGTCTTACCTTCTGTATTATCGCTCCAGCCCTTCAGAGTGCAAATATTTTAAGATGCTGTTTTGCTGCCTTGCTTTTGGGGATAGATCCCAAGAGTGGGATTGCTGGTTCATCTTGTGGTTATTCTTAAGAAGTTTTGAGGATAGTCTATACTGGATATACATAGTGGATGTATATACATAGTGGATATACAAATTTGTATTCCCATCAACAATATACAGAGGTTTCTTTCCTTTTTTCCACATCCTTGCCAGCATTGGTTATTTCTTGTCTTTTAATAATGGCCATTGTAACAGGTCTAATGTAATTTGTACCTTGATTTAAATGTCTCTGGTTGAACACTGTTCATGTACTGTTGACCATTTGTGTGTCATCTTTTGAAAAAAAAAGTGTTTTAAGTTCTTCTGTCTAAACCTATAGATTACCCCTTTACATTGTTGATTTTATTTATAGTATAGAAGCTTTTTTATTTGAAATAGTTACATTTGTTTCTTTTTGCTTTACTTGCCCTTTGGATGTCAATTAGATATGTGAAATGAAATTATAAACAATCATATACAATTCTGCTTTCATTGTATCTATGGTTCAGCTTTTGGTATGAATTTTTTTAAGCAGTTGAAGAACTAATTTTTGTATATTTAACTAAACCCCAAAAACTAAACTAATTTTTGTTTTAAGGTGTTCCACAGTAAAAGCCAACTTCTTTCACAATTCAAAGACAATCCCGTCATCCATGAAACTGAATATAAGAGAAATTTTAAGGGTTTATCTCCAGTGAAAGAACCAAAATTAAGAAATAGTTTGAAAGAGAACGGAAATTTTGAAACAATATCTTCTGAAAAAAAGGTATTTGTCAATTCAGTTTGTCAATTGAAAAATTTGAATTTTTTAAATCAAATAAAACCTGATGATTTTAGGATTTTCTTTATCACCACCAGAGATTTTTGTTGTCAGCTATGTCATTAATTAATGTGTACATGAAATTTTCATTTCAGTTAATGTGTAGATAAACTATCCAGTGAGCACTTAGTAGGAGCAGAAAGGACAATGATAATCTTGCTAAAGCCCTAAGTACCCTTTGGGCTAGTGGGGAGATAGAAATGCCTATGACTAAATGTAATATTGTATGTTGAATGCTCAGAATACAGTAGGATAGGATTATAGCTGTTTAGGTTGATACATCAGGTTGGGAATTATTTTATGGGTAGATGTGGTATGTCTTATTTTTGAATTTCCTAGACTATCATACCTTATACTTTATGGGTTCTAAAAAGAAATTATGACTATATATATACATATACATAGAAATTATGACCATATATGCATATGTGCAAGCATATAAATGCATATATGTAAGATGTGATGTTCTTGTGGGAAAAATTTAAAAAGTACTTGTCAAGAAAGCAATGTGATAAGTTACTTATTGAGACTTTAATTGCTGTATCACAAATGTGAATTTATAATATCAAGGGTAAATGTTTCTTTTAGGTAGTTCAAATACATTGTAATACCATTTTTAAATTTAGATTCTTGCCAGTTAAGTATTTTTTCATATCCAAGAATTAAATGTATTTTTTTAGAAAGTAAAATTACATTCTGACTCATGCTTCAAATAGCTAAATGGACATAATAGTTGTTTGAAAACGTGCTAGATTTTTTTTTGTGAATTCCTGTTATTTTTTCATAGTTCAAACTTCTAAAAGCATAATTGTGACACCGAACTTATGTATTCTTAACAACATCGATGTTTTTACATTAAAATATAAAATGTTAAACATAAGTTTATTTTTATTTTAGTGTAATAAAATAGATGACCTTTTAAAATTAGAAGCAGAGATGGAATCAAAAGACCTAGATCAGCCTAAGCTGAAAGTTTCTCCTTGGAGACATCAAAGGCTTGGGTATGTATTTTATAAGGAAATATCATGGGCCACCAAGATAGCTCAGAGGGTCAGAGAGCTTGCTTTGCATGAAGGAGACCCAGGTTTGATTTCTGGTATCACATGGTCCCAGGCACCACAGGGAGTGACCCCTAGGGACTGAGCTGGGAGTAGGCCCTGACCACTGCTGATTGTGGCCCCCAAACCAACAATAACAACAACAAAAGTGTGATATTTAGACGAGTCAACATGTGGAATATTTACTTTTATTTCCTTTCTGTTAGGAAGGTGAATTCTGAATATAGAGCAAAATTTTTGAGCCCTTCCCAGTATTTCTATAAAGCTGGGGCTTGGACACACGTGAAGGAAAACATACCAGATCAGGTGCGTATTCAGGAGACCAGTGACATTTTCTTTGCACCTGTATGCTACAGCTTTATTTCCTACTTATTTTTATTTAGTCTTAGAGCCTACAGTTTAAATATGTCTGATGCTGTAATAGGACGAAAAGCATTAGGAACTTAAAATGCAGTATATTAATTTTAGGAGAATGTAAAGATAGAATTTTGTCAGTATGTTTACCTTCTTTTATACCAACTAGGACTTTAGAAAAGAATGTTTATTATAGTCTTTAAAGTGAAAATGTTTTTACAACAAATATTTGATTGCATTAATAGGAAATTATAGCATTATAGGTTTATTTTGTAGTATTCAGACCCTACTTTCTCAGCTGAAGATTAATTGTCTTTTGTCTGACAGTGGCCCCAACTCAGTGCTGCCTTGCAGCCTGTAGCCACAGAGGGTGTGGTCTGTGCTGACAGGGGCTGTCCTGCTGTATTGGTTAGGCCAGAGAAAGGGTTGAGGGAGTGGATTATCCTAGAGTTGGGAAGTTCTGGGTTGATGTTAGTTCCATAGAGGCAAAGGATAGACCGTGGAGCTTTTTGTTGGCTATCGGTAGCATCTTTTAAATCATACGTATTCAGTTGTATGCTTTTTATGTGTGAGCTAAATTAAAATATTTTTGTTAAGAGTTGACGTTAGTACGCTCCCCCTTCTACCCTTCCCCCATTGTTAAGGAGAGGGATACTTCAGGTGCGGGCTGGATCTTTTATCTAGCTCCATGCTTCAGGTCACAGGGAAGGTGTTGGCTCTGTGCTGCCCGGTTGGCCCTGTCCTGGCAGTGCCCAGACTTGCATTTTGGTGATGCCTGGATTTCAGGAGCTTTCTTGGTTCCTTCCATGCCTGCTCATCATGCTCCCTGTTTCCCCACTAGAGCCTGACTCAGAGGCACCACAGTCAGGGTAAAAGGCAAAGCTTGAAGCTATCCCGGATTACCACTGGGATTTATATTTTCACCCTGGAGAAATTAAGTTAGACATATGAGCAGCAAAAACTGCACGATGAAAGGCATGAAGTCAGCTAAGTCAGCTACACTATTGAGTATATGGCTTTGCCAGAAGTGACTTAGTGAGGAGCTCTGTCTGATGTCAAGTTGAGGAATTGCTGGGGACAAAGGCAGATGGATTGTGGCCATAGAGGACTAGTGTGGGTCAGAGATAAATAGGTGTCAGTCATTGACTTGCCTAGCTGCTTCATCGGTTTGTGAGAAACAGCCCCTTCTTTTGGAAAGACCATCTTTCTTTCAGTCTCTAAGATTGCTTTCAATTAGGTTGGGCTTTTTAGGGCATAGATCGAAACACTGAATGGACTGAGAGGATCATATCCAAGTCAAAAGGTAGGAGTTCTTATCCTGTCTCGGAGGAAGAGAACATTTTTGTTGTCATTCATTTAAGATCTGTTTTTATTTCTTCTCCGCCATTCAGTAAAATAGGTAAAATTGGTATCTTTAATTTTCTTTTTGAAATTTGTTATTGATTAAGGTACTATGATTGAGAATACTATTAATGATAGTTTTTGTGTATGTACAAATAAGATGTTTTATTCATGGTGTACTGTTATGAAATCTTGGTAATGACTTTTTTAGGTTGCTTTATGAATTTCTGTTGCTGTTTATAAATTTTTTCATTAGTGGTCTGGTTTGTCTAATCTCTATTAGAGGCAAAATAATGAAGAAAGTAAATTGAAATTAGATATGAATAACAAGTTGTTAGCAAAGAGGTCAGTAATCACTATGTGATGACAGTTTTAGCTGACTAGCACAGACATTTAATATAGGCCATATTTTGCATAAATCTTAGATTATTAGGTGTCTAACCATATGTTACTTCATTATTTCCCTGTGTCTGACATCTCATGAAGAAGTATTAGTCTTCAAATGCATTTAGGTACCATATACTTTGTTAATTAGGATATTAACACATTCCATGCACTGTCTCATTTATTCCCATAGAAGTTTCTCCCACATGGGTGGGATTTAGCCTCCAGTCTGCTCTTCCCTCTCCATCCTTCACCCAGTGTGGGAATGTTTGGCCCCACCCACATCCCCCTTCAAATCACCCCTTCTCTTCTAGTCTCCTTTGTTTGTTACAGCTCAGACAGGCCCATGTTAGGATAATTGTTTATTTTATTTTTCAAATTTTTAAAAATTATTATTTTTTTGTTTTAATTTTTAAAAATTTTTTTAAATGAATAACCATGAGGTACAGTTACAGACTTACAAACTTTCATGCTGATGAAGTACTCATCCCTCCACCAGTGCCCATTCTTCACCAATGTTTCCAGTATTCCCAATATTACGCCCCCCCCCCCCCCCCCCCGCCTCTGTGCCTCTGTGGCAAGGCATTTCCTTTTACTCTTTCTCTCCTTTTGGGTGTTGTGGTTTGTACAGGTATTAAGAAACCATCATGTTCGGTCTGTAGTCTACTTTCAGCACGCATCTCCCATGCCGAGCGGGTCCTCCTGGCATCCTTTACTTGGTAGTTCCTTCTTTGTCTGAGCTCCCCTTTTCTCCAGCATGTGAGGCCGGCTTCCAAGCCTTGGAGCAATAGGATAATTGTTGAACATAGAGAAGACCTGCTCCTTTTCCGGGCCCCATACAGGTGCCCTCCTGCTTACCTCTGCCTCCTGCCTTTCTAGCTCGGGCCTCGCACTTGGTCTAAGCTCAGGAAAGGTTTTGGAATCAATATTAACGGTGTATTCTCCCTCACCTTGAGTTCCAGGGGTTATGGGAGTGCCTCAGGCTATGTTTCTCCAGTGCCTTTTACAATGATAAGTTTAGTTATTTTTGTTTTGGATTTTGCAAATTTAGCACAGCCTCTTGATCCTCTTAATGATAACATAATAATAATTATATTATTATTATAAAAATATTAAAAAACAATATTTTTTATAGAAGAATTATATCGTTTTTTTCAAAAACAACTGAAGATTGTTTTGAACAGTTTAAAGATGTTAAATTTTTTCTGCAGCTGTAGAATTGTATTTAGGGAAGCCAGCAGGTGGCAGTGTGCTGTATAAAATGAAAGGGTTTCAAATGGGTATCACAGAAAGCTCTTTTTCATACTATTTCATATTATTTCATACTATTATTTCATACTATTTCATATTATTTCCATATTAGTGAATGTAAATCACTTGTTTATCAGAAAAGCTTTTGTGTCCTGCACTTTATTGAATATGTTATTATTTTAACCCTACAAATATTATTTTAGGGATAAAATAAGATATATTATCCTAGCCCCCACCTCTTTTTTTTTTTTTTTAGATTTTTGTTGATTCCGAAGGAATGTTGAGTTTGTGCGAGAAGCCTCTTGGTTCTTTTAGTAGGGACAGCTATAGCAGTAGTGGCTGAATTTAAACCATGAAAATAAAGATGGTCTGAGGAACTTGAGGTGTCAAGAGGTTTAGAAAGTAGTTCTAGTGAAGAGGCAGCCCGACTAAATCCCAGTCATAGAAAAACACGGCTGGTTTTCACGGCATTATTAAAATGTCTACTACGGCATTATTAAAATGTTACTGGAGTAATATTACCAAAATGCTAAGAAAATGAAATGTTTGATATGTTTATCTGAAAGGAAGAAAAAGGCATCGATACCTGCTGATACTGAGTTTTGGCATTAACCTGTCATTAAGTCTGTTTCTGTATTCCCCCCTAGGGCTCTCTAAATGCTATGTGGTATGCCGAGGTTGGTTTCTTTCAAGTTTTTAAAAATTGTGCTGATGTGCCTAGTGCTTGTGTAATTTCAGATAAAATAAGAAGTAGGTGTCAGTATTTTCCCTAATTGCTGCAAATTTCTCCCTGCTTGCTGGCCTGCAATAAAATAAATGCACCGTGCTTTAGCTTGAATGTTTTAATTTCTGCTTAAACACGCATAGTCTGATGAATGTGTGGGGCTATTTTTTGCCTTCCTTTCTGTTTGGTGTGTGACTGTATTTGTGTAATGTCTTTGGTTTGCTGTCTGAGGGTATGTGCAAAGGAGCATTTATAATAATACATGATGTCTCCAACTCTCCTTAAAAGGTAAAAGAACTCCGAGAGAAAGCCGAGTTTTATAGGAAGCGAGTTCAGGGGACGCATTTTTCACGGGACCATCTGAATCAGATTCTGTCTGATAAAAACCGTTGTTGGGATGTCTCCTCAATCACAAGCTCAGAAGGAACCATTAGTACCAACATTAGAGCACTAGATCTTGCTGGGTAAGATGTTGTCTGTGGATTGTGCAAAGTAATTTCAGATTCCCTAGGATCATGGGATTACGTTGGAAAATTTCTAACTACTCAAAATTCATCTTGTCAGACAGAGGTATGAAGCTATTTATTACATTGTGTTAATTTTTAGAGTTTTCTTGGTGAAAAATAAAGATATACAGACTTGCTTTACATAAGTCTCTTGTATATAAGCAATACACAGTTGGGGCAATACACCTTGAGGGTGTTTAGAGACTTTAACCAGGATGGCTTCAGTTTTCCCACTAGTGCATACATAGGCAATCACATTGACATACAAACCAAATATTTACTGATAATCATGAATTCATTTTGAAACAATTTTCTTTAAAAGTTGCTTGGCACCGAATGTAGTTGCAACCCACACTTTAAACAGCGAGGGCCTAAAACCCTTTTCTCTCACTTCTGGGAGTTCATAGCACCGAGGCATCAGTCCTGATAGCGTTACTGGCAGCGTTACCCTTTGAGATCTCCATCGAGAAAGAGCCTGAAAAGTGGCTCCGGGGCTTGGGAAACGTCCCACGGCAAGCATGTGAGCATGAGCTTAATCTTACCTGCACTGTGCCTGTGAACATGATTTTTCCCCCCACCTGGGTGCTCTGTGCTCCCTTGCAAGGGGATAAAACTAATGATATGTGATTTAAATCTGGAAGGCTTTGTTTTGTAATATTTCTTGTTAAACAAAAGTAGAATACGGTAAATGAGGAAAACCTTATTGTTTTTTTTTAAGGCCCAAACCAGTAAAACAAAACCCAAAGAATATAAGTTGGAGTTGGTGCGATACTTATGCCTTGACTCAGTGGGAGAATCTTTGCTGTTTAGATTTTAATTTGAAAGGGATTTGACTATTAAAGGAAATGGCACATTGATTTTTAGCAAATCAAGTGGTTTTTAATTTTTATAGAATTAGTTGTTCTTACCAAATTGAATGAAAAATTCTAATTATGTGTCATCTTATCGACCCAGTTGATTGTAAAATCTGTTCTTATACAATGGCTTGGAAAAATAATATATATAAAGTATAAAATTTGACTCCACTTACGTTTTTTTTATAAGTAGTTCACAATATTTGATTACAGTTAATACTCGAACACCAATCCCACCACCATTGCACCTTCCCACCACCATATTTTGGATGCTTCCATCCTGAACTCCAACCCCTGCTCCAAAGCAGAACTGAAATAGTTTAATTTGTATTGTTTGTTATGAAAAACCACTGAAAACGCTACAAAAATGTTTAGTTAAGAGGAGAGAGTGTGAAGATGGTTGTATTTCACCCAGGGGCCATTAAGCCCTTATATAAGAGAAAACCAACATGTTGTTAAAGGTTGTCACTCAGCTTACTTGACTGACAAGTAAACCTGAGTTGGAGGATAAAAGCTCATTGGGCAACTGAACAAGTCAAACTGTTTGGGTGGTAACTGGTATAAGTGTCAGGTTAGAGGATATAAATGAGTTGTCACAGTGGTACAGGTATGTGATAGTAGGAGTAAAAGGATATAAATACATTTCATTTTGAAATATTTTAATAAGGAACTATAAATCTGACTTAAATTCTGTCATATTGTAAAGTGAAAAGTCAAGAATCTCTTGTTCCCCTCATGCCACTGTGCATAGCCCTTCTGTGGGCAGGGTAACGTGCGTGGGAGACCGTTGTAGCAGTGAAAAGCAGGGATGGCTCATTTTATTAAAAACCTCAAATGACTTTAGTCTAACATGAAATGTAATTTGTTATGCAGAGATCCTACCAGCCATACGACTTTACAGAAAGGATCTTCTACAAGGCCAGAAGAAAAGAGACCTCCCTTGGAAGAGCAGCCCCAGACAGAAGCCATGGACAAAGAGTGTGTGTCAGAGGCACCCACTGTGCCTGTGAGAAGGCGTCTGGCTTGGGATGCAGAGGACCCTGGTGAAGACATGCAGAAACAGCCCAGAGAGGAGGAGCAGGAGGAGCAAAGGGAAAAGGACAAACAGGCTCACACAGACGAGCCAGAGAAGTGGGAAGTACTTGAAAAATACAAGGCAGACAAGATGAAAGAAGGGTGAGGAACACTATGCATGGTTCATAAATTATCACTAAGAACAGTGGTGTCTACTTTTGGTTTTATGACTAATAAAGAGCAGATTTTGTTTTAACATTAGAAAGTAGGTTTTGTGTATTTATGATTGGATTCACTCACGTGTTAAGTCACAACGAATTGATGACTATACACTTCAACAGTGAGCTACTTAGGGAGGTAATAGGGTTATTTTAATTTATGTCCTGCTTATTATAATTATGATCTAGACTTTAAAATGCTTGGAAGAAGATTGGCTTTGTTTATAATTTAAGGAAAATAGCTGATGCTATCAAATGGTTATCAAAACAAAAGATTATGCTTTATAATATTTGAATAGGTGGTTTTTGCCAAATAGCAAGTTTCTATTGATTTATATGCAGATTTGCCTTGAGGGATGGTTCTTTCTCCTTGATACTTATATAAGATGCTACTTGTTTATAGTCTAAGCCTCATATTCATTCATAAAGTTTGTAGCTAATATGAAATTTAGATCCCTATTTCTTTACAGTATTTATATCTTTAAGTGATTATTCCTCTTTTCATATTTAGGTACTTTGTTTTTGGGGGGTCCACACTTGTTAGTGCTTGGGAACTACTCCTAGCTCTCTTCTCAAGGCTTGCTCTCTGCAGTGCTTGAATACCATGTGGTACAAGCGCTCAAACCCAGACCCCTGTATATATAGCGTGCACTCATCCCACTGAGCTTTCTCCCTGGCACTGTATTTAGTCACTGTTAACTGCATATGAAATTGTTAATTTTCTCAGAGATAAAAATGGCCTTCTGAGATTTTAATGATGCCAAATACTTCTGATCATATATTTTGTAGGAAAAGCTTCCTAAGAGATTGTCTTCTTTTGTAGGTCAGAGTCTTCCTCCCTATCTTCAGAAAAAGGAGGCAGGCTTCCTACACCTATGCTGAAAGAACTTGATGGAATGCAAAGGACTCATCATGATCGCACCACACCAGCTGTTGGTAATAGGCAAATGCTGTACCATCCTGATCACCCTTGCTTTTTCTGCATGATAGTTTAGTTTGATTGAAAGGTCTTCTGCCTTTATCTAGGTGGTGCTGTTTTAGTGTCCCCATCTAAAGAGAGACATCGAGTCCCAGAACAGAGGAAAAGACTGCCCTCTCAGAGTACTATAGACATGCCAAAGAATTTTACAAAGGTAAATATCCATATTTTGCGGGAAATGCCTCCTCATGTAGTGATTATTTTAGTTATATTCAAATTTTATAAAATTCTTTGAATCATATGTAAAATTGGTGATGTTATTAACTTTTAAAAAAAATTTTATTAGTGAAACACCATGAGGTACAGTTGTAGACTTACAAATTTTTGTGCTTGGGTTTCAGTTATACGTGATTGAGTACCCATCCCTCCACCAGTGCCCATTCTTCACCACCAATGATTCCAGTGTCCTTCCCACCCCCTCATTCCCCCAATCCCACCCCGCCTCTGTGACAGGGCATTTAATTTTGTTCTCTCTCTCCTTTTGGGTGCTGTGGTTTGCAAAAGAGGCATTGAGGAGCAATAATGTTCAGTCTATAGTCTACTTTTCAGCATGCATCTTCCATCCTGGGAGGATCCTCCCAATACCCTTTACTTGGTGCTCCCTTCTCTATCTGAGCTGCCTATTCTCCCAGCATGTGCAGCTGGCCTCCAGGCCATGGAATGAACCTCCTGGTACTTATCTCGACTATTCTTGGGTGTTAATCTCCTGTTTTGTTACTTTACATTCCACAGATGAATGGAATCTTTCTATGTCTGTCCCTCTCTTTCTGGCTCATTTCACTTAGCATGATACTTTCCATGTAGAACCACTTGCATGTAAATTTCATGACTTCATCTTTTCTAACAGCTGCATATTATTCCTTGTGTAGATGTACTAAATTTTCTTTAACCAATCATCTGTTCTCAGGCACTTGGATCTTTTCCAGATTTTGGCTATTGTGAGCAGTGCAGCAATGAACATACAGGTGCAGATGTCATTTCGACTATACTTTTTTGTCTCTCTGGGATATATTCCCAGAAGTGGTATTGCTGGGTCAAGTGGGAGCTCAATTTCTAATTTTTTGAGAATCATCCATATTATTTTGCAAAAGGGCTGAACTAGTTGGTATTCCCACCAGCAGTGAAGGAGAGTCCCTTACTCCCCAAATCTGCGCTAACACCCAGTTGCTTTTGTTCTTTTGGATGTGGGCCAGTTTCTGTAGTGTGAGATGATATAGCATTGTTATTTTGATCTGCATCTCCCTAATGATTAGTGTTGTAGAGCATTTCCTCATGTGCTTTTTAGCTATTCAGATTTCTTCTTTGGAAAAGTTTCTGTTCATTTCATCACCCCATTTTTTGGTGGGGTTGGAATTTTTTTCTTGCAGAGTTCAACCAATGCTTTATATATCCTTGATATCAACTTCTTATTGCATGGTTACTGGGTGAATATCCTTTCCCATTCTGTAGATTGTCTTTGTATTCTGCTCATTGTATCTCTTGCAGTGCAGAAGCTTCTTAGTTTAAGATAGTCCCATTTGTTTATTTCTGTTTCCACTTGGTTGGTCAGTGGAGTGTCATCTTTGAAGATATCCTTAGCCTCAATATCGTAGAGGGTGTTTCCGACCTTTTCTTCAATGTACCTTATGGATTTTGATCTGATGTTGAGATCTTTAATCCATTTTGATCTGACTTTTGTGCATGGTGTTAGGTCGAGTTCTAAGCCCATTTTTTTGCATGTGGCTGGGCTGTCCAGTTATGCCAGCACCATTTGTTAAAGAGGCCTTCCTTGCTCCACTTCACATTTGTTTCTCTCTTATCAAAGATTAGATGTTCATACATTTGGGGTTGTGTGTACTGATATTCCACCCTGTTCCATTGGTCTGTGGCCCTGCCTTTGTTCCAGTACCATGCTGTTTTAGTTATTACTGCTTTGTAGTAGAGTTTGAGGTTGTGAAGGGTAATGCCTCTCCCTGTTTTTTTTTTTTCTTCCAAGAATTGCTTGAGCTATTCGTGGGTGTTTGTTGTTCCATATGAGTTTTGGAGTGCTTGATCTACTTCATGGAAGAATTTCATGGGTATCCTTATAGGGATCACATTGAATCTGTAAAATGCTTTGAAGGGGAGTATTGCCATTTTGACAATGTTAATTCTTCCTATCTATGAGCAGGGGATATGTTTCCATTTCCTCATATCCTCTTTTATTTCATGGAGTAGCATTTTGTAGTTTTCATTGTAGAGGTCCTTTACCTCTTTAGTTAGGCTGATTACGAGGTACTTGATTTTCTGGGGCATGATTGTGAAAGGGATTGTTTTTTTCATGTCACTTTCCTCTGTCTCATTATTTGTGTATAGGAAGGCTATGGATTTTTGGTATTAATCTTATAGCCTGTGACTTTATTATACAAGTCTATTGTTTCTAGGAGTTTCTTGGTAGAGGATTTAGGATTCTCAAGATTTGGTACCATATCATCTGTGAATAATGAGAGCTTGATTTTTTCCTTTCTTATCTGGATGCCTTTAATGTCTTTTTTTAGCCTAATCTCTATTGCAAGTACTTCCAGTACTATATTGAACAGAAGTGATAGTGGGCATCCTTGTCTTGTCCGTATCTTAGAGGAAAGGCCCTTAGTTTTTCCCCATTTGGATAATGCTTGCAATGGGTTTGTCAAAGATGGCTTTGACTGTCGTGAGGAAAGTTCCTTCAAAACCCATTTTGGTGAGAGTTTTCATCATAAACAGGTGCTGGATCTTTTCAAATGCTTTCTCTGCATCTATTAAAATGATCATATGGTTTTTATCTTTACTTTTGTTGATATGATGGATTATGTTGATTGATTTCTGAATGTTAAACCATCCTTGCATACCCGGGATGAATCCCACTTGGTCGTGGTGTATGATCTTTTTGATGAGTTGTTGGATTCTATTTGCTAGTATTTTATTGAGGATCTCTGCATCTGTGTTCATCAGGGATATCGGCCTTTAGTTTTCTTTGTCGGTAGAGTCTTTGTTTGATTTTGGTATGAGGCAGATATATGCCTCATAGAAGCTGTTTGGGAGAGTTTCTGTTTTTTTCAATTTCCTGGAAAAGCTTGAGGAGAACTGGCAACAGGTCTTTAAATGTTTTGAAGAATTCACTAGTGAATCCATCTGGGCCTGGGCTTTTGCTTTGGGGAAGACTTTTGATTACAGGTTCAACTTCCTTGATATGAACGGGTCTATTCAGGTATCCCAAGTCTTCTTGGTTCAATCTGGGAAATTATAGGAATGCAGGAATTTATCTATTTCTTCTAGGTTTTCTTGTTTCATGGCATAGACTCTCAAAGTAGTCTTGATGATCTTTTGAATTTCATTGGTTTCTGTTATGTTGTCCCCTTTTTCATTTCTGAATTGATTTATTAGGGTTCTCTCTCTCTCTCTCTCTTTCTCTCTCTTTCTCTTCCTTTGTGAGTCTTACTAGTGGTTTATCAATCTTGTTTATTTTTGAAAAGAATCAGCTCTTGGTTTCATTGACCTTTCGGATTGTTTTTTGGGTTTCCATGTCGTTAGTATCTGCTCTAAGTTTTATTATTTCTTTCCATCGGCCAAATTTTTGTTACTTTTGTTGGTCTTTTTCTAAGATCTTGAGCTGTGAGGTCAGGTTATCTATGTAGGCTCTTTATTCCTTCCTTAGGAATGCTTGAAAAGCTATACATTTTCCTCTTAACACAGCTTTAGCTGTGTCTCATAGGTTCTGGTAGCTCGTGTCTTCATTCTCATTTGTTTCCAGGTTTCTTTTGATTTTGTCCTTGACTTCTTTCCTGACCCACTCGTCATTGAACACTGAGTTGTTTAATTTCCAGGTGTTTGATTTGGTTCTTCGTGTCTGTGTATTATTAGCTTCTATCTTCAGCAAATTATGATCTGAAAAGATTGTTGATACTATTTCTATCTTCCTGATTCTATTGAGGTATGTTTTGTGGCCTAGTATGTGGTCTATTTGGGAAAAGCTCCGTTTACACTGGAAAAGAATGTGTTTTTTTTCTTTTTGGGGTGAAAAGCCCTGAATAGGTCTATTAGCCCTCTCTTCTATTTCTTCCTTCAAAGCCAATGTTTCCTTGCTGAGTTTTGTTCTTGTTGATCTATCCAGAAGTGATAAGGCAATGTTGAAGTCTCCGACTATTATTACGTTGCTAGCATTGTCCTCTTTAAAATCTGTTAGCAGTTGTTTTAAGTATTTAGCTGGTCCCTCATTAGGTATGTATACATTTAAGAGTGTGATTTCTTCCTGTTGTACGTATCCCTTGATAAATAGAAAATGGCCTTTGCTGTCACTTCTAATCTTTCTCAACCTGAAATTTATGTTGTCAAATACTAGTATGGCCACCCCAGCGTTTTTGAGGGAGCTGTTTGCTTGCACGATTGTTTTCCATCCTTTAACTTTGAGTCTGTGTTTGCTCTGACTGTTGAGATATGTTTCTTGTAGACTGCAGAATGTTGGTTTCAGTTTCTGGATCCATTTTGCCACTCTGTGACCCTTGATTGGTGCATTTAGACCATTGGCATTGAGAGAGATTATTGTCATGGGGCTTTGTGCCATCTTCCTGTGGGGGTTGGTTGTGCTTATAAGTGTTTTCCTTCTTATCTTACAGGAGCCCTTTTAATCCTTCTTTTAGGTTTGGTTTTTGAGTCTATGAAGTTCCTGAGCTGTTTTTTATCTATAAAATAAATATAAAATATAAAATGGTGTATCATTCCATTGAGTTTGAGTGAGAGTTTAGCTGGATAAAGTATTCTTGGTGAGGCATTCATTTCATTGAGTTTTTTTTCACTGTATCCCACCATTGTTTTCAGGCTTTGAGGGTTTCCTCTGATAGGTCTGCTGTAAATCTAAGGAGTGCTGCTTTGTATGTAATTTCCTTCTTTGACCGCGCTATTTGCAGTACTTTGTCTCTCTATCCACGGCATCTATTATTCTGACTATAATAAGCCTTGGAGTGTTTTTTATTAGGGTCTCTTTTAGCTGGCACCCTTCTGGCTCCTTGGATCTGTATGTCTGCATTCTTTAACTCTGGGAACTTAATTTATTTATTTATTTATTTTTAAATTTTTATTAGTGAGACACCATGAGGTACAGTTGTAGACTTACAAATTTTTGTGCTTGCGTTTCAATTATACAATGATCAAATACCCATCCCTCCACCAGTGCCCATTTCCCACCACCACGGATCCCAGTATCCCTCCCACCTCCCCCATCCCCCCCTGCCTCTGTGGCAGGGCATTTCCTTTTGTTCTCTCTCTCCTATTGGGTGTTGTGGTTTGCAAAGGAGGCATTGAGTGGCACTCATGTTCGGACTATAGTCTACTTTCAGCATGCTACTCCCATACTGGGAGGATCCTCCCAACACCCTTTATCTGGTGCTCCCTTCTCTATCTGAGCTCCCTTTTCCCCTAGCATGTGTGGCTGGCCTCCAAGCCATAGAGTAAAATTCCTGGTACTAATCTTGGCCATTCTTGGGTGTTGAGCAATGATTTCTTTCACTGTGGCTTTTTCATTGGGGTTGCCTCCCTGTCCTTGTTGTATTCCAATGATTCTAATGTTGTTCCTCTTGGTGTCATCCCTAGGTCTCTAATTCGCCTTAGGGCTATTTTGAGGTCTTTCCCCATTGTTTGTTGTTGCCTATAAGATTTCTGCTGCTCATCTTCAAGCTCACTGATCCTGTCTTCATCTGTAGTCATTCTATTGCTGAGGTCACCCACTGAGTTTTTAATTTCATCTACCGAATCCTTTATTTGTGACACTTCTTTTTGTAGCTTTCTTATTTCTGCTTTCATTTCTTCCTGATTTTTCTCAACTATCCGTTCCACTGTTTCTTTCATTTCTCCCTTTAATTTTCTGGATGTCTGCTCCATTGATTCTTTGAGTAGTTCCTTGAACATCCTCAGCATTTCATCTCAGAGTTCTTTATCGGAGAGATCATATTTGTGGGTAACCCCTGTTGAGGATTCAGGACTCTTTTCTTCATCCTCTCGTAGTGGCGATTTGTGATGTTTCCCCATGTTGTTGTGGTTGTATAGAGGTAAAACCTTCAAGTTCACTAGCACTGTTCTCTCTTATTGTGGGAAGTACTGTAGCACTGTCCTCTCATTGTTCATCGATTTGCTTGAGCGGGCCCAGTAACGTCTCCATTGTGAGATTTGTTGTTACTGTGTTTGGCATATTGAATATGTCATGGATAGCTTGCCAGACTTTGCTGTGTGGGTGAGATATTCTTGGTAGCTTGCCGAGTTCTCTGAGAGAGGTGGAGGAGTTGAACCTGGGCCCGCCTGGTTGGCTGTGTGCAAGGCAAACACCCTACCCACTTGGCTATTGGTCAATGGTGGTCACCCTTCTTCCCTTCTAGAATATGTCCTTCCTCTCAGATATTATTCTGTGGCTTATGCCAGGCATCTAGTGAAGCATTGGAGGAGGTGCTTTTTTATACCGGGCTTGTACAGCTCTTGTGTACTCGTCTTTTGTTGGAATTGGAGTAGGCTGGTGTATTGTTGTCGTATTGTGTTTGAGGCGGCCAGGACTTTTTCCACACAGTTAGGTTGGGATGTGAGTCGAGAGTGCTGGGGGTGGAAAATATAGCTGCGGCTGCGTAAATGGCTGCCTGCCACACAGAAGGCCATGCCCACTTTTGAGTAGGCCATACCCAGAGCCAGTCCCAGGGACCCGCTGACCAAAGAACCTGTCACAGGAAGCAAAGTCATAGAGCTGCAGCACTCTGGCACGCAGGGGTCAGCCGGGAAGTGGGGATGGGGAGGGCTCTGGCTCAAGGGTGCAGGCACTGGGGGATCCGTCTCGCTGTTTACTTTCAATAAGGCAAAGTTATTACTTTCCTTCTCATGGTAGCATTGTATTACTGATGATACACTTTAAGTTCTTTAGTTATGGCTCAACAGAGAAACAGAGAGAAAAAAATAGTGCTTTTATTTAACTGAGCATGTACTGAGTGGCAGTTGTGTTTCAGCTGTGATGTTCCAGGCACTGATTGAGCACTGAAGATAGAGCAGTGAAAGAAATAGGGAAAAAATCCTAGCCTCAGTGAACTTGTATTCTACTGGATAAGAGTGAGAATAAATAGGTTGCTAGGTAAAATTCATAGCATTAGTGGTAATTTTTTAAAATTCTGTTTTATTTTTGTAATTAAAAAATTTATTATAGCTTAAGCTAGATGGTTGCATCCTAGCTCCCCATATGGTACCTTGAACTCAGGTGTGATTCCTGAGTGCAGAGCCAGGAGTAAGTCCTGAGCACTGCTGGGTGTGGCCCAAAAACAAACAGACAAATTCCCTCCCCGCCCCCCTCAAAAACCCCAAAATAACTATACGTAATACATTCTAAAAGCTTAGATGTGAAACTAGTCATAATCAATTTTAGTATCCAAGCAAGAGATGATGATCACAGTAATCACAGTGGAAGTTATGTGATAAAATTTGATTCTTTATATACGTCAGAGGTATAGCTGCCAAGAGGAGGATTGGTTGCGCCGTTTAACTTAAAATTGGGAAGAGAGAGAATGAAGGAAAGAATTACTAGTGAAGATCAAGTGTTCTGGGTTTGGCATGTTAAATTTGAAAGACTTATTAGGGAATAATTAATAATGAATTGAGAGTTCACTCTGACTTTGGAATGTAGAGGAGGTTGGGCTGCTGGTGGAGATTTGAGGTTCTTGACCGCATAGGTGGTCTAGTTACATAAATCTTGAGATTGGGGAAGATCCTCAGGGGAATAGGTATAGGTGGAGATTAAGCTGCCGTTAAGCAGCTTGATCAGGAGCCAGAGAGGCCATTTGTGGGTGATGACTTAGGGTCTCATTGGGGTGGGGAAGGAAAAGACTGGCTCCACCCCCATCCCACGAGGCCCAACATGTCTCGTCACTGCAGGCCTAAACCTGACTGTCCAATGGCCTCTGGAGGATGGCGGTCAACCAGCCACAAAGGGGGAGCAGTCGGAGGGAGAGCACCCTTTCCCCACTGGGGTGGCCCAGCGACAGTAACCTACTTCAGGATCCGGACGCATTTCTGCCAAAAGCCACTGGGTTTTGAGATTTGTTTTTGGGTCTCTGGGGTCATGGCCATTAAGCATCTAGATCAGGAGCCAGAGAGGCCATTCGTGGGTGATGACTTAGGATCTCGTTGGGGTGGTGAGGAAAGGACCAGCTCCACCCCCATCCCATGAGGCCCAACATGTCTCGTCACTGCGGGCCCAAACCTGACTGTCCAGTGGCTTCTGGAGGATGGCAGCCACCGGGTCGCCAGGGGGAATAGGCCAAGGCACGAAACCTATTCCCACCTGGGTTGACTCAGCACCAGTAACCTACTGCAGGGACCGGACGCATTTCTGCCAAAAGCCTCTGGGCTTCGAGATTCGTTTCTGAGTCTCTGGGATCATGGCCATTAAGCAGTTTGATCAGGAACCTGAGAGGCCATGCCTCCAATTATATAGCTGAGCCGGAGGTGGTTTGTGTGTGTGTCTCCCACATACCTAATTTTTGGCCATTTACTTTCTTGGTAAACTTTGCCCCAAGTTTTTGGGGTCTGGCCAAAGGCACAGCAGCAATTTTGGGGTATCTGGAAGTCTGAAGGCGCCATCAGGCTGCTGATGCACTCGCCTCACAGGTACAGATTGACCTGCTGGCAGCACCATATCCCCTTATTCAGTTTTTTTTTTAAAGTTTATTATTGTAATTTGGTGAGTAATTAATACTTCAATACTTTCATTTTGAAGTATAACATGTTTGCTAATTGTAACTTGTGTGTTTGAGAATTACTTACATAGCCTTTTTCTAATTTCTAATTAGAAAAAATAGATCTAATTCCTAATTAGAAAAAATAGATCAAATTCCTAATTAGATCTATTTTTATTACTCTTAATTACTTTTATATAGTAATGATAGTTTGTCAGTCATGTTAATTTTATATAGTCCTCATTTGTCATTTTCTGTTATTTTTTAATGGGTGTGTATTTTTAATTTGAATAAATACAAGTTTTCAGGCTTATACATTATTACCCACTTGTAAATTGCAGATTGCCTGAATTTTCTCCTATAGTTTTTATGTTTACACGTATATTATTTGCATGTGCATGCATCTGATAATTTTTTTTCTTATTTAGAAAGAAATTCGTTCCGTAACTCTCCTAACTTCTCCAGCTGCTGGTATGAAAACAATTGATCCCCTGCCTTTGAGAGAAGATTCTGAAATCAATATCCCCAAGCTTGTAGAGCCAAGTCCTCCAGTTTCAAAAATTTCAGAATATCCAGCAGATATACCACGGAAAACTCTTTCTCCTTGTGCCACATCCTTTTGGAATCCTGCTCTTCGAATTCAGGGCTCTCTGAAAGATCCAGAATTTCAGCATAATGGTAATTTTTATTTCTCCTTTAAAAGTGAAAATATTATACTAATAGGTACAAAGGCATGTATGAGCTATATGGTAATAGTGTGGTTTAGTTTCTTTTCAGTTAATGTAATAGAGTTATTTAAATAGGAAAATCACTTTGAAACACTCAGTTGAGCTCTACCCAAGTTCACTTTTGTATTTAGTGTGAGTTGACATTTGCCAAATGTCACCTACATATAGAATCAGGGCCATAATTATTTCCCTTTTGTTTGGTTGGGCATACCTCTACTTTTTCTAACTTTCCGTTCTCTTAATTACAGTTGAATAATATGCACTTTTTAATTTGGATATTTTATGACTTTTCTTTCTCGGTTTTAGGATCTTGTTTACATTTAATGCCTTGACATTTTAAGAAAGTTCTCTTTATTTTGCTAGTCTTAAGTAAACTTTTATAACCAGGAAATCTTGTGTTCTTCACTTCTGGAATTTTTATAAATTATTTAGCGAGGTAATTTTGTTTTTCTATTTTCTGTTTTCCTTTTTGGCATGCCCGTTTTTCATATTGGACATGTTCAATATGATTTTGTTTTCTTCCATCTTCTACCTCTTCCTTTAAATTTGAAAGACTTGCTGTTTTTTTTCATAAGTCTCTTTTGAGTTTGTAAAAAGTATTTTACTTTGTATTCAGTTCCCTATGCACCTTTTAACAGGGCATCGTCCTTTTACTCTTTTCTTATTCCCTGGGTAACATGATTTATTTCACTGAGGAGATACCTATCCTCCTGTATTTTGAATATGGACCTTGGTTTTAGGTGAGCTTGGTGTCTGCATAGCTCCTCATAGCTCTGGTAACCATTCTCTGGAGATGAAATCCCCAAACATGTTTTGGAGAGAAAAAGCAATTATCTAGTTACGCAAATTTAAAGAAAGACCTGGTAAAGTATTTCATAAAAAAGACTTAAACCAAATTTCTAGTTCAGTCCTATCCATGCTGCAGCTTTTATTTGTTCCTTAGGATTCCCAAACCCTGACCCAGTAGGGGAAAGAATTGGTTGCATCTTGATTTCCATCCTCTGCTGATTTCGGATTAATCCTGCTTGAAATAATAATAACCCACTCAGTCCCCTCTCATTTGTTTCCTGCTTTCTTAAAGGTTGTTGCTATTTTCTTGTCTTCCTTCATTTCTTTTTTTTTTTTGTCTTTTGGTTATCTTTTTTTAAATAATTGTATCTATCCTATTTACTGGGCTGGAGCGATAGCACAGTGGGTAGGGCATTTGCCTTACACGCAGCCAACATGGTCGACCCAAGTTCGATGCCTCTCTCCCTCTCGGAGAGCCCGGCAAGCTACCGAGAGTATCTTGTCCGCCTGGCAAGCTACCCATGATGTATTCGATATGCCAAACACAGTAACAAGTCTCACAATGTTACTGGGCCCACTCGAGCAAATCGATGAACAATGGGAAGACCGTGACAGTGATCCTGTTTACTATTACTAAATAAAAGAGAGCTACTTTCTCTTTTGTTTGTTAGTTTTTTTGGCCACATCCAGCAGAGCTCAGGAGCTCTTCCTGGCTCTGTGCTCAAGAGTGACCCCTTGAAGGTGCTTGGAGGAGAGGACCATATGTAGTGACAGGGGACCTGAATGGGGTCAGTGGTACGCAAAACCAGCAATTGGACCTCTGTGCTACCTCTCCAATCCTGAATTTCTTTGAAGTTAAAGTATTGTATCACTGAAAAAATTATTGAAGTTATTCGTTGTTCACTTAAAAGTATTTGCTAAGGGGCTGGAGCATTAGCACAGCAGGTAGGGCATTTGCCTTGCATGCAGCTGACCTAGGTTCGATTCCCAGCATCCCATATGGTCCCCCGAGCACCGCCAGGAGTAATTCCTGAGTGCATGTACCAGGAGTAACTCCTGTGCATCGCTGGGTGTGTCCAAAAAGCAAAAAAAAAAAAAAAAGTATTTGCTAAGCACATTATACATTACCTTTGATGTAAATTTTTATTAAACATAAAATTTTTGGCAGCCTGCTTTTTATTATAGATGATATATACGGTTGGATTTTAAGAATAATTTCTTTTATCCTTTTTTTTTTAAAGTGGGAAAAGCAAGGAGGAAGAGTTTCCAATTACCTCAGCAAGAAACCTTTAATGATGAAGGTATTTCAGTAGTCAAATAACACATGATTAAAATATGAGATTTTGTTATAGTAGATGGTAGTTTATGATAGTCTAATGACCTTATATTTGATTAGCACTAAAAATTTAGAAAGTGCTTTCCACAGATATTATTTCATTGACTCTTTGAAACCCCGGATTGGGAGGGGGTGAGGTGGGGTAGGGTGTGTGTGTGTGTATTGTGTAATTATCTCCATTTTACAAATTAGTAAACTAGAAGCTAAATCTTTAATATTTTTTAGGGTGAACATGATGATATTGTACTTAATATTGTACTTTAAGTTATCTGTAGTCTATTTTTTCATCCTGGCTAGATGTGGGACCAGGAATTTACATTGATAGCATTATGTCTGTTTTCACTTTTTTCACATGCTTATTCAGACCAGTGAATACTCTTTTTTTTAATTAATTTTTTTAAATTTTATTTATTTATTTATTTATTTATTGAATCGCTGTGGGAAAAGTTTCAAAGCTTTCAGGTTTAGGTCTCGGTCATGCAAATATCAATCACATTTCCCTTTACCAATACTTATTTTTTACCATGCAGAACCCCAATAACCCCCCCTACCCCTCCCAATGCCTGTGGGGCAGATGAATTCTAATTAACACTCTGTCTACTTTGACTAGCTTCATTGTTTTGATAAAAGTCGCACCATTATTATTTAGACTTTACCCCCCCCCCCCAATCAGCCATGTTGGAAAAGCATTGTTAAATGATTTGCTTTCTACAGCTGGCTTCAAGAATTAAATGATGTCGCCTGGCCGCGAATTTCTGCTATTTTACTTATTAACCCTGGAAGTATTTCTACTGAAAGTCAGATAATTAAGAGATTGGTTTCTGTGCTCTGGAGTCATGGCCGTGCTGGAGAGCCGCTCATGGGGGGCAACTGGTGACCTCGGTAGGGCGTGAAGAACGGGGACCAGTGAATACTCTTAAAAAATAATACAGTTAAGGAAAATAAATACAATTAGGAAAAATTTATTTTCTTTTGTGTAGTTTTTATAAGGTCACAGACTGTGACGTTTTCCTTAGCAGATTTTGAACTTTTCTTGGAATTTGTCAGTGAGCTAGAAATGATATTTTTTTGAAATGCAAATATCTGCACACTGAATTGAGTTCCATTTTGTCTGTAATGGAAGGAACATATTTAAATATATAATGGTATAATAGATTTATTTAATCAAAATGAAGGATAGCATATTAAGTTTAATTTCTTTGTATTGTTTTAGGACTAAGATATAAGTGTATCATGATAAAGAATAAGAGTTTCCTTCAAAAATGTTTTAAAAAGCTTTTTGCTTGAACAGCTGTGCTTTTAAAAGTAGGACGAGACAGTCTGATAACAAATTATTTCCAAGTAATTGTGAAATCACATCGATCTGCTCGAGCGGTCCTAGTAATGTCTCCATTTTGAGACTTGTTGATACTGTGTTTGGCATATCGAATACATCACGGGTAGCTTGCCAGGCTTTGCCATGTGGGCTAGATACTCTTGGTAGCTTGCTGGGCTCTTCGAGAGGGGTGGAGGAACCGAACCCGGCTTAGCCGGGCTGGCTGCGCGCAAGGCAAATGCCCTACCACTGTGCTATCGCTCCAGCAAATCGATGAACAACGGGAGGACAGTGCTACAGTGAAATGACAGGCCGTGTGTTTAGGTAATTACATTGTGGGATTTTATAACAAAGCAGGATGATCATTTAAGATGTTTCATTTCTAAATGAGATAAACTTAAAAAATTGTGGTGAACTTTCTGAAAATATTAGTATCCTCTTTTTCAATAAACATTACTTTTATGGTGGTCTATATTGATAAAGCACATACTTTAAATTTTCTGCTGATGTTTAAACATGGTATTTTTTAACGGATTTTTTTTTCACTTAATATAATTTTTTTCATTTGTAGATGAGGACAGATTATCTGTGATTTCTGCTCGTTCTGCAGCTTCTAGTCTCCAGGCTTTTCAAACTCTGGCACGAGCTCAGAAAAGGAAGGAGAATTTCTGGGGTAAAACATAAGTGAACATACATTTTGTTGAGTTACTTTTATCTGGAAGAACAATTGATGTAATTTTTTTCGTTGTTTACTGTGTTAATCTTCAAGTTTTCTGATTTTTTAAAGATAATTCCTACGTAAAATTATTTGATTTTAAAATCAGTTTGAATTTTGATAGCTTATTCCATTTATGGAAAATTTAAGTGCACATGCATACAAATTTAACTGTTAAAGAATTATTTTCATATCTACCCCAAATTACAAGGGTATAGATAGTACAGTTCTTCATGTGTCCTAACTTTTGTATTGTGTCAGCAATTACTGGTAGAGTTTTGAATTTCATCTATCCAGAGAGTGTTCTAAAAAATGGACAAAGTGAAATAAACATTAAGATCCAAGTGATGTATATATAACCCTCAAGTTGGTTATTTATATCTTTATAACTGTAAATGTCATAAAATGAATTTTTAGTTTCTTTAACTTTTGTTATAGTCTTTATTTTAGTGTCATATATGTGGAGTGTTGGTAATTGAAAATACCAGCTATTTATGTACATACACACATATATTTTTATGTAACTTTTGCTGAGAAAATATGTATATTTTTGATTTTTGTGTGCATTCTCTTTGTAAAAGGATTTTGGCTTACATTTGAATAATGTATGAATTTTGACAAATTATTTGTATAATGGTGATTTGAAACTTTGTAGGAAGCATTTTGAAATAAAACATGGTCGAGGGTTTCAAGTATTTTATGTGTTTGATTTCTCCAGAAGGTTATTAAATGGAACAAATATTTTATCTTTTAAAAACATTCTACTTATAACAGGTTAATGAAATGCTACATTTCCTTTGCAGCTGTACAAATATCACTTAAACGGTCTACCATATTTTTGTATGACTAGGAAAAACAGAATTTCTATCCTGGACTCTTTAAAAATTATGAGTCAGGCTTTTGGGTATACTTACTTATTCATCATACATATTTCGCTTTCTTACTCCTCATCTTGAAAATCAAAAATTTTCTAAAACACATGCATATCATATATATAATACATAAAATCTTTATAATAATGCATAGAAGGTAATAAAGATAAATGTTCAGAATATTTGTACCTATTGATTTTTAAAATGGAACAGTTTGTTTTAAAGTACTTTCAAAAGTTCTTTTGCCAATCATCCATTCACAATAAGCCACAGGCTGTAAAATCCACATAGCCCGATATAACACACTACATTAATTTGATCTATCAAATGCCAGATAGTTCAGGCTGAGGTTTCCTAAGGCCAAGATTATAAGGCCGGTTTCTGTGTGGCAGTTTAGCTTTGTGGAATCCTACTAACTACCTTTTAAAAGCTGTATGCTCAGTGGTGCAGGGGAGTGTTGAGGGACATTTTGTTCTATCACTCACACTAGTTTAAATAGCCGTGCATTTGAGTTAGTGGGTAATTTTAGCTATTTGACAAATATCCCATATGATTTTTGACATTTGGGATCTGGGATTGCTAATTTAAAACTCAGTTTTACAAAGGAATATTTTTACATGCAGTATACTGTTAAAATTACTCCACAGAGAGTTTGGAAACATGTATATACCTATCAAAACAATAACACAATGAAACTGTGTTGCATTTCTATTATCCTAAAGGTTCCCTCATTTCCCTTTTAGTTTTGAGTTATCCTTCCACCTCTGTCCCCAAGGCATTCATTCATCTCCATACTTTCTGCTAGTATAAATTGCATTTTGGGACTATGGTGAGTCAAGTTGCTATTAATGCTTGCAAGTCTTTGGGTAGATTCTTATTTCCTCTGTAAAATATCTGGTAATCGTAATTTATCATTATAATCTTTAGCACAACTTCTGCTTTGAGCAGTATATACATTTAATACTGTAAATTATTGGTTTGTCCTTTTTGTCAATATTAGTATCACTCAAATTAGACTAGAGAATGAGCACTAGAATCACAGTAGAAGAAGTGTTTTCCAAAAGATGCAATTCATTGTTCTTTCTCCCCCACATCTTTAAGAGAGAGCTTAAATTCTTATGTGTTCCTTTCCGAGAACACAAATTAAAATGTACACATATTGCATTTGTGGAAGGCTTTGCACCTTATTTTAGTTTCATTTCTGGATCTTTCACGGTATCACGGTCCTCCCGTTGTTTATCGATTTGCTCGAGTGGGCCCAGTGACATCTCCATCATGAGACTTCTTGTTACTGTGTTTGGCATATCAAGTACGCCACGGGTAGCTTGCCAGGCTCTGCCATGCGGGCGAGATACTCTCAGTAGCTTGCCGGGCTCTCGGAGAGGGACGGAGGAATCGAACTCGGGTCGGCCATGTTGGCTGCGTGCAAGGCAGACGCCCTACCGTGTGCTATTCTGGATCTTTATTTTTTATTATTGAATAACCGTGGGATACAGTTACAAAGCTTTGTAGCTTCATGATTGACTTTTAGTCATACAATGATTTGGATGCCCATCCCTCCACTAGTATACATTTTTCACCACCAATGTCCCCAGTGTCCCTCCAACCACCCCCCTCCCCTGACTACCACCTCCTCTGCCTCTATGGCAGACAATTTCCTTCTTACTTTCTCTCCCTCTCTACTTTTGGGCAACATGGTTTGTAATACAAATACTGAGGGGACATCATGTTTCGTCCTCTTATCTACTTTCAGCATACATCTCCCATCCCCAGAAATACCCCCAAAGATCAATGACTTAGTGATTCCTTCTCTATCTCAGCTGCCTTCTCCCCCAGCTCATGAGGCAGGCTTCAACCATGGAGCAATCTTCCTGGCCCTTGACTCTACTGTCCTTGGGTGTTAGTCTCATATTATGTTACTTTCTATTCCACAAATGTGTGCAGTCATTTTATGTCTGTCCCTCTCTTTCTGACTCATTTCACTTAGCATGGTACTCTCCATGACATCTCCACTTATAAGCACATTTCATGACTTCATCTTTCCTAACAGCTACATAGTATTCCATTGTTGTAGATGTACCAAAGTTTCTTTAACCAATCATCTGTTCACGGGCACTCAGGTTGTATTCAGATTCTGGCTATTGTGAACAGTGCTGCAGTGAACATACAGATGCAGATATCCTTTCTATTGTGCTATTTTGTACCCCTGGGATATATTCCCAGAAGTTTTAGTGCTGGGTCCTATGGAAGGTCAATATCTTATTTTTTGAGGAATACCTATATTGTTTTCCAGAAAGGCTGGACCAGTCAGCATTCCCACCAACAATGAAAGAGTCCCTTGTCTCCCTACATTTGCTCCAGCACTGTTTGTTCTTGTTCTTTTTGATCTTTGCCAGTCTCTGTGGTATAATATATCTCATTGTTGTTTTGATTTGCATCTCCCTGATGATTAGTGATGTAGAGCATTTTTTCATGTGCTTTTGGCCATTTTTATTTCTTTTTTTGAGGAAGTTTCTGTTCATATCTTCTCATTTTTTGATGGGGTTGGAGGTTCTTTTTTTGTAAAGTTCTACCAGTGTCTTGTATATCCTGAACATTAACCCCTTATCTGACAGGTATTGGGTAAAAAATTTTTCCCATTCAGTGGGCTTTTTCTGTATTTTTGTCACTGTTTCTTTTGAGGTACAGAAACGTCTTAATTTTTGTTTATGTTTTTTTCCACTTGCTTGGGCAGTGGTGTTTAATACTTAAAGATGCTTTTAGCTTCAGTATCATGGAGGGTTCTGCTCACATTTTCCTCCATGTACCTTATGGATTCAGGTCTGAGATTGAGGTCATTAATCCATTTTGATCTGACTTCTGTGCCTCGCATTAGACAGGTCTGGATTAATTTTGCAAGTAGCTGTCTAGTTTTCCTAGAACCATTTGTTGAAGAGACTTTCCTTGCTCCAATTGACATCTCTTGCTTCTTTATCAAAGATTAAGTAATCATATATTTAAGAATCTGTGACAGTATTCAACTCTGTTTCTTTGGTCTGTGGGTCTATTTTTATTTCTATTCCCATGCTGTTTTAATTACTACTGTGTTGTAGTACAGTTTGAAGTTGGGGAGGGTGATACCACCCGTCTTCTTTTTCCCAAGGTTTTCTTTAGTTATCCATGGGGGTTATTGCCCTGGATCTTTATGGAAGGAAATCTGAACTCCAAGTTAAAAACTGTTAAGGCTGATTTTGAAGATTAGGGGTAAATACATAATAAATATACATACCATATGGTGGAAAAAGTTACATGATATCTAATCGTGAATATCTGAATTTTGCAGAGGACACATCTTGAATGACTGAGATCACAGAGTAATTGAATCTAGGTTTCCTTACTCAAAATCTACCCATGATACCTATTCTGGAGTGTTTATGCTGAAACCTCCTTATTGTGATCTTATTCTCTCATTGATTCATTTGGGACCTTAATTTTTTAACTTGACTTTTTAGAAGACTATTATATGAGATGCTTCCCTTTCTAGTTAGGAAAAAAAAAGTATTTAGGCATTATTTTATTGTGTAAATAGATTCAGCCAGAATACAGTGAGCAAACACGCCAGCCAAGTTTGTCCTTACAGAAGAGTAATGTTGCTATTGGGTATTCAAGAAGCTTAGGGATGGATTATATGACTTTGCTGTAATTGTAAACACCCCTAAATTATGTGATTATGTTGACTTTTGGAAGCCCACGAAAGGAACAGATTTTTTTTTTCTTTTTGGGTCACACCCAGCGATGCTGCACAGGGGTTACTCCTGGCTCATGCACTCAGGTATTACTCCTGGCGGTGCTCGGGAGAGACCATATGGTATGCTGGGAATCGAACCTGGGTCGGCCGTGTGCAAGGCAAACACCCTACCCACTGTACTATTGCTCCAGCCCCAGGAACAGATATTCTTAAATATGGTAAGTCATCCTAGAATTATTTGTATCTGGTTTTGATAGTTTTCTATGTGGCAGCCTTATCAGCATGCTCAGGGCCCAGTCTGACCAGCTACCATCATCTGTGCCTAATTGAGCTGGCTACTCCGAGGCTGTTGCTCCCAGCTGAAGAACAATCTCTGTCACTGAACAGCGAGGGCTGTATCCTGCTGGGCTGCAGTGTTGGAAGTTGGGGAGTCAGCATGGCCCTCAATCTTAATTTATAGACTAAAGCATGTCAGTGTTACTACCCTTGTCCCTGTGCCCATAAACTTCACATTAGTATTTATTCTGCACTTTTATTTGTTCATGTGTCTCATGGTGAATAGAAATACAGAAGAAAAAGGTCTGACCTCTCAGCCTTCCTTTTTTTCTCTTTCAACTTCAGAACAAAACCTATTAAGCATAATGTTTTTCTCAAGAAGGGGGCCAGTCCCTATGGTAGGTGACTGTTTCCCTTTTACCTGTCTTTTCATTATGGAAGTGGCACCTACTTTTCTCCACTACTGCCCATACATGAATCCCATCCATGACTTCATGATTCCCTGGACCCATATCATCATGTCCTTGGAGCGTGAAAGATGCAAACTTGGGTGCTGTGGTACCTTTGGAAGTCAGTGTGAGGTTAGTAGTAATATTTAAGGAGTTCACAGTTTAAGCCACAGGACGGATAATTGGTAATGTTGGGAAATTGTTCCCCCCTTCCCCAACTGCTCTGTAACCTGTAGCATGCTGGAGCTCAACTTTTTTTTCCTGTCAATTTTACTAGTTGATTAAATATTCATAAAATTTGTGAGTAATTTATGTACTATTTACCACAGATAGTAGTAAATACTACCTGTACAGATAGCTATTTGTAGTTTGAGATTGGCCTTGATGTATTTAGCACGATGGATATAAGTAAATGCTTGGTGTATTTAACACAGTGGAGATAAATAAATACTATAAATCAAGGCTTCCTTTTTCCGTCAAGGCAGTTACTAGCTGATCACAGCAGCCACTACACCTGTGTCTGCTCTTCTTTGCCGTTGCGTCAGAGAAAGCAGTTCACATCAGAAAGGAGAGAGGCAGTTGAAAATAAGCTGTATACGATTTATTCCGTTTACATCTCTTTTTTTGTATTGAATCACCATGAGATATAGTTACAAAGCTTTCATGTTTGAGTTTTAGTCATACAATGATTGAACACCCATCCCTCCACTAGTATACATTTTCCACCACCAATGTCCCCAGTACCCCCCACCCGCACCCCCAACCCCACTCCTCCCCCTGTCTCTATGGCAGACAATTTACCTCTTACTTTATACTTTTGGGCATTATGGTTTGCAATACAGATACTGAGAGGTTATCATGTTTGGTCCTTTATCTACTTTCAGCACACATCCCCCATCCCGAATCATTCCTCCAACCATCATTGACTTAGTGATCCCTTCTCTATTCCAGCTGCCTTCTCCCACAGCTCATGAGGCAGACCTCCAACTGTGGAGCAATCTCCCTCGCCCTTGTCTCTACTGTCCTTGGGTCACTGTTCAATACATCATGGCTAGCTTGCCTGGCTTTTCTGTGCGGGCGAGTTACTCTTGGTAGCTTGTCAGACTCTGTGAGAGGGGCGGAGGAATCGAAATTGGGTCAGCCGTGTTGGCCGTGTGCAAGGCAAATGCCCTACCCACTGTCCTATGTCCTTGGGTGTTAAGTCTCAAAATATGTTATTTTATATTCCACAAATGTGTGCTGTCATTCTGTGTCCCTCTCTTTCTGACTGCCTACATCTTTGACTTGCAAAATAAAGTACTTTCGTTTTGTTTCCATCTTGGCTAAAATTTTTAAAAGGCAAAAATAGCAGATCATAGACGGAGATTACCCACGAACTGTAGAACTAAACAGAAGTTGGGGCTTGGAATATATAATTTTCCAGCTGATTCTGATAGGTAGTTTGGGAATCGCTGGCTTTGAGTTTATGATAAACTGTGGCTTAATTCTACTCAATCTTGAATAATCTTTGAATCTGTGTTTCTTAAATTTGCAAGATTTAAGATAGCATGACTTATGGTCTGTAAAGATATTTCATATATGCTCTCAAAATGTTTAACTCAAAATTTTTGTTCTAGTGTGCTGAAGGCAGAGGTTTAGTGGAAGAAAAAAGGGTACTTTGGAGGAACTAGATTTAAGTCTAGAAAGCAGGAGGCAATGGATCCTGAAGTTGAAGCGTTTCTCGTCACTGCCTCTCCATGATGACCTACATTCAGCTCACACACTCAGTTTGGGACAGGAGTGCTGAAATGATTGGACTGTTTCCATTATGTGGTGAAGCAAGAAAGACTGATTACAATGTTGTGGTTCGGTATCTTGGGAAAGTGGTGGAATACATTTCCTGATACGTACTAACTGTATTAGTGTAACAATGCATTGGAGATGCTATCACATATGAGTCAGGAAATGTGAAGATATAGAATCTATGATAATTACAGATGAAAGGAAAGATAGTCCTGGTTAGCCCCTTAACTGAATGTACTATGTGTATCTGTGTGTGTGTGTGTGTGTACACATACGTACATATGATTTTCTATGTTTACTGATGAAGTAAAATATATTTGGAATATAAATATAAAAATATATTTAAGATGAAGTGCATAGAACTTAGGAGTTTTGTAATTTTAAGAAGCTAAACACATTTGCTGTATATGGGAAAATTTAGAACTTTTTACTCAATTAAATGTCACTTTCAGAGTTGAGGGTGTAGGTATGTCACACGGGAAAATTTTGCCCACAATGAGTACCTTAGCATTCAGTGTTCATGTGAAAATGTTATTCAGGTCAAAACAGTTAAGACTCTAGAAAACCCAAAGAAAGTGGAAAATATGACAGCTCTAAATGAGTTCAATAAATAATGTTATAACATTAAACTTGTAATTTTGAGAAGATATAATGCCCATTGTGCTTTGTTAATTAAAAAGCGTAACTTGTCATTAATACCCTAGCATGGTAGATTAAATTTATTACTCTGAATTATAACTGCCAAGTCTTTTAAAATCACATATCATTGCTCTAAGAACATTTCAGTGTTTTGTTATTCAGAATTAAAATGAGTGAACTGAGACGAAAAAATCAGATTTGACTCAATGTGAACCAAAAATATATAGAATAATAGACATTAATATAATAGCATATACTTTTTTCTTTATTTTGGGGGATGCGGTGGGAGGCACGCCTGACTGTGCTCGGGGTTTGCTATTGGCTATGTGCTGAGGGGTTCCTGGTGGGCTGGGGGACCATATGGTGCTGAGAATCAAAGTACATGCAAAGTAAGTGATTTAATTTTTGTCTTATAACTCCAGCCCCTCTCGTTGATTTTTAAGAAAAAATTATATCTTTAAAGATAACTTTAAGTTATATGCTTTAAAAAACCTAAATTTTTGGTATGCATATATAATATATATTTTTATATACTGATATATCTATCTGATTTGTGTTGATTTTTTAAACGAGATTCAGTGGCGGTGGAGGAGGCAAGTCTTGCCTCTCTGCTTGGGGATCACTCTTAAAGATTCCCGGGACCACATGCCAGGGATTAAATTGGGGTCATCGATATTCAAGGCAAGTGCCTAAACCCTCTGCTTTAAAGAAGACTTTCTTTGTTTCTGTCTTCTGGCGTTTCACGGATCCATCCAAGATAATATTTGCTTAGAATTTACCTTTGTTTTGGCCTCATAGTGTCCAAATCTCAATACAGGCATGGTGATGATATGAGGCCAAAATTGTGTTTGAGTATAAAACTGTATTTTCCCCTGGGAGAGTTACTCAGACTTCCGTTTTATAGATTTAAAAAAAAATTTATTAGGGAAAAACCATGAGGTACAGTTGTAGACTTACAAATTTTTGTGCTTGGGTTTCAATTATACAATGATCGAGTACCCATCCCTCCACCAGTGCCCATTCTACACCACCAGTGACCTCAGTATCCCTCCCATCCCCCCATCGCCCCCATCCCACCCTGCCTCTGTGGCAGGGCATTCCCTTTTATTCTCTCTCTCCTTTTGGGTACTGTGGTTTGCAAAAGAGGCATTGAGTGGCAATCATGTTCAGTCTATAGTCTACTTTCGGCATGCATCTCCCATCCTGGGAGGATCCTCCCAACACCCTTTACTTGGTGCTCCCTTCTCTATCTGAGCTGCCTTTTCCCCTAGCATCATTTTATAGATTTTTTAAAATAATCTTAATGCCTCAAGGAAGCAGGGAAAAACAAAGGCCTACAAGTGTTATTTATTTTGTTTTTATTTTTCATGATCTTATCATTGCTCGGCAATATTCACTGTATCACTGTACGGTGCCACCTTGGAGCTCTTTTAGGGTCAGGGGAATGAGATTCATCATTGTTACTATGTTTGACATATCAAACATGCCCTGGGGGGCTTGCCAGGCTCTGCTGTGCAGGCAGGATACTCTCAGTAGCCAGCAGGTTCTCCAAGAACGAGAACTAGACAATAAGAGGTCTTTTGGGAACTTGGTTTTATAGTCTCTGGATCTTGGCCATCTTGGCCACCAGGATTACCCGGTGCTGGGTACAGTTGGTGGGTGTAACTGCCTAGCTACTGGAAGATGGGGGATATGGGTGGAGGAGGCCCAGTCCCAATCCAAGCGGGATCTCAGCCCTGGGTCCCGCATGCCTGGGTTCCTCTACCGGTTCCTTCATGCATGAGGCTCGTCCGAGCATGTGGAGAGTGGTCTTGAGCCAGGCTGTGACTGGGTCCCGGAAGTCTTCAGCTGCTGGGGCTCTGCTTGGGGCAGGGAGGGAAACTCAACCTGCCCTCCTTTGAGGGGTCCTGGTGAAGTCTGTTAAAACAACAAATATCTGGCAATATTAATATTATGGAATTTGGGGGAAGGGATTAGCCTCACCCCTTTGTGTGTAATTGTGTGCCTCTGTGTGCCTCCTCTCCCACCTGCAAAGCTACAAAGCCCTCCACCACTGTAAACACCTACCCCCTGCACATTCCATCTATGGTAATCAGGATAATCATCCAGTTTTCTTTCTTTTTTTTATGTAGAAGTACTTGAGCGGGCCCAGTAACGTCTCCATTGTGACAACTGTTACTGTGTTTGTCATATCGAATATATCACGGGGAGCTTGCCAGGCTTTGCCGTGTGGGTGAGATACTCTTGGTAGCTTGCTGGGCTCTGCGAGAGGGGCGGAGGAATTGAACTCGGGTCAGCCATATTGGCTACTTGCAAGGCAAACACCCTACCCACTGTGCTATTGCTCCAGCCCCAGCGATCGAGCAAGCTACTGAAAGTATCTCGCCCGCATGGCAAAGCCTGGCAAGCTCCCCATGAGATATTCGATATGCCAAACACAGTAACTGTTGTCACAATGGAGATATTACTGGGCCCACTCGAGCAAATTGATGAACAATGGGAGGACAGTGACAGTGACAGAGCTTATATTGTCCTAAGAAAAGCAGAAAAAAAAAGCAGTTGAAAATAAGAAAAGCAGGAAAGAAGCATTTGACAATATCCTTGATACATGTACAACTAATCTTGTCCAAATAGATTGTGCAAATCTAAATTGGAATATGAGACAAATTGAACACATTGAACAACAAATTCAACAAATTGAACAACATTGAAGCTAAAAGCATCTTTAAGGATGAAACAGAACTGACCATGCAAGTGGAAGCAAACATAAGCAAATGGGACTACATCAAACTAAGAAGCTTCTGCACTTCAAAAGAAACAGTGACCAAAATACAGAGAGTGCCCACAGAATGGGAAAGAATATTTACCCAATACCCATCTGATAAGGGATTGATATCCAGGATATACAAGACACTAGTAGAATTGTACAAGAAAAAAACCCTCCAACTCCATTAAAAAATGGGGAGAAGAAATGAACAGAAGTTTCCTCAAAAAACAAATACAAATGGCCAAAAGGCATATGAAAAAATGCTCCACATCGCTAGCCATCTGGGAGATGCAAATTAAAACAACAATGAGATATCATCTCACACCACAGAGACTGGCACACATTCAAAAGAACAAAAGCAACCAGTGCTCGTGTGGTGTGGGGGAAAAGGGATGCTCTTTCACTGTTGGTGGGAATGCCCACTAGTGCAGCCTTTCTGGAAACAGTATGGACAGTCCTTCAAAAACTAGAAATTGAGCTTCCATATGACCCTGCAATACCACTTCTGGGAATATATCCCGAGGACGCAAAAAAGCACAGTAGAAATGACATCTGTACCTATATGTTCGTTGCAGAACTGTTCACAATAGCCCAAATCTGGAAACGACCCAAGTGCCCTAGAACAAATGACTGGTTAAGGAAACTTTGGTACATCTACACAATGGAATACTGTGCAGCTGTTGGGAGAGATGAAGTCATGAAATTTGCTTATAAATGAATAGACATGGAGAGTATCATGCTAAGTGAAATGATTCAGAAAGAGAGGGACAGAGAAGGACTGCACTCATTTGTGGCGTATAAAACAACATAACATGAGGCTGACACCTAAGGATAGTAGATTAATGGGCCATGAAGATTGCTCCATAGCTGGAAGCCTGTCTCAGGAGGAAAGAGGAGAAGGCAAGCTGGAATAGAGAAGAGATCGCTAAGAAAATGATGGCTTGAGGAACCGGTAGGGATGGGAGATGTGTGTTGAAAGTAGATAAAGGACCAAACATGATAACCTCTCAGTGTCTGAATTGCAAACCATAATGCCCAAAAGTAGAGAGGGAGTAAGGGAATATTGTCTGCCATGGAGGCAGGGGGGAGGGGCAGAAAGGGGGAGGGTATACCGGGGATATTGGTGGTGGGGAATGTGCTCTGGTAGAGGGATGGGTGTTTGATCATTGTGTGACTGTAACCCAAACATGAAAGCTTGTAACTATCCCATGGTGATTCAATAAAATTTTAAAAAAAAGAATATGAGAGAATTTCAGAAATGTAATAGCATTAATAGTTTTTTATTTATTTTTTATTGAATCACAGTGAGATAGACCATACAAAGCTGTTCATGATTAGGTTTCAGTCATACAGTGTTCCAACCCATCCCTCACCAGTGTACATTTCCTAGCACCAGCGTTCCCAGTGGCCCTCTCATCACCTCCACCCGTGCCTGCCCCCCCCCCCCACCAGCCTGCCTCTATGGCAAGTGGAGGTGCTTTTCTGCTTCTCTCTCTCTCTTTCTCTCTCTCTCTCTCTCTCTCTCTCTCTCTCCCCCCCCCCCCTTTTGGGCATTGTGGTTTGTCCTACAGATACTGAAAGGTTATCAGGAATATCCCTTTACCTACAGTCCTTTATCACTAATCATCAGGGAGATGCAAATCAAAATAACAATGAGATATTATCTCACACCACAGAGATTGACACATATCCAAAAGAACAAGAGCAACCAGTGCTAGCACAGTTGTGGGAAGAAAGGGACTCTCCTTCTTTGTTGGTGTAAAAATCAACTGGTCCAGCCT